ACAAAGTGGTATAGAAATTATGATAATAATAGTAATAATAATAGCGCCTAGACATTCCATTGCGGCGATTGTAACTTAGGTTTAAGGTGCCATTTGGCGATGAGAGTACAGTGGTACCTCGGGTTAAGTATTTAATTCGTTCTGGAGGTCCGTTCTTAAACTGAAACTGTTCTTAACCTGAAGCACCGCTTTAGCAAATGGCGCCTCCTGCCGCCGCACTGCCGGAGCACGATTTCTGTTCTCATCCTGAAGCAAAGTTCTTAACCCGAGGTAATATTTCTGGGTTAGTGGAGTCTGTAACCTGAAGCATATGTAACCTGAGGTACCACTGTATCCAAGTTTCTTACACTTCCTAGGATGTTCTGCACACAAGTCAAAGGTTCTGCCCTTAAGCTATGCTCCTTCCTCTACCTTCCCCACTTCTCATTGCCCTCTGCTAGTTGTGAGTATTAACTTCTGAAGTGGAGAGCCTTTTTCTGCTTGTGTAGGTTCTCTGCTTGATTTAGTCCCCTGGCTGTCCAGGATCCTAAATTGTGTAGGGGACCTAGATGAGTAGAGCAATCTCCCCCCTGCTGCTGGTATTTTGCCTTCAGCTGGTGGAAAGTGACGAGGGGAGGGCAGAGTTAGTGCCCCACTCTCCCTTGGGGCAATCGTAATCTCCCCGAGGATTAGAATGCCAGAATGGGCCTCAAGATGCTCATAAATCTTCGCTGCAAAAGGGATGCCTGTTTGTCCTATGTTGATAACACAGCTGTGATTATAGTGAGGTATAAAAATAGCAGCTGCAATAAACACTCTTAAAATGCACTGGGTGATAGTTTAACATCATTCAAATTTGGGGCAGATCCATTAAAATCCTTGCACTTAAATAACTCAGTGATGCAGCTGGAGAGCCCACTTACTTACTTACTTACTTACTTACTTACTTACTTACTTACTTATTTTTGCAGTTCATCCCCAAATATGAGTGGTACTTTGATCCTTCTTCACCCTCCTGCACACTAGCTGAAAAGGATTTATTCCTCCCCACCCTTCCTCCTCCTCCAACTTAAATATGTTTTCACTGCCGGAGGAAAAATCTGTAGGGGAACAGCAGCGAATTCACTCCCCTCTCAAATGAACATTCAAAGAGCAGAATTTGGGTACTTTATAGTAGAAGTTAATACAGGGGCATAGTACTGTTTCAGTGAAAGTACCTACTTTATGCCAGGTAAGCCTATTTGTCTGTTTAGCCCAGTATTGCCACCTGTGGCTCTCTGGGATCTCAAGCAAAAGTTTTTCCCCATCACCTCCACCCTGAGCCTTTTAGCCATATGCAAAGCATATTCATTCTCTCTCTCTTTATAATCTGCCACACCACCTGAAGGTCTGCTATCATGAGCATACATAGGCAATACTCTATTGGCAAGAGTTCTAGGCGGTTTGCAAATTGGGTCACCCTTCCCGGTTCTCCCACTGGTTAAACATATTTTTTCTGTTGCTTCAGAAACCCACCAAACCTCTTCAACCAGAAAAGAGGGTTGGGTGAAAGGCACAGGGGTGTGCACAAATGTCCTGTAAAAACAAGACTTTGGGAGCTTGAAGTGAGAGGTTCCGGAAGGATCAACGCTTGTCTTTTTTTTTTCCTCTTCCCGAGTGAAGTGATATTTATCTTTTTGTTAAAATCCTGGACAACTGTGCAGTGTTCAAAATGCTGTTCTCTACATCTTGCCAGGTTAAAGTCGCTGTATTCCGCGTAATACATTGTATAGTTCTTTATAATCTTACTAAAGGTAAACGGACCCCAGTCGTGGCCGACTCTGGGGTTGTGGCGCTCATCTCGCTTTACTGGCCGAGGGAGCCGGCGTACAGCTTCTGGGTCATGTGGCCAGCATGACAGAGCTGCTTCTGGCGAACCAGAGCAGCGCACGGAAACGCCGTTTACCTTCCTGCCAGAGCAGTACCTATTTATATACTTGCGCTGGTGTGCTTTCGAACTGCTAGGTTGGCAGGAGCAGGGGCTGAGCAATGGGAGCTCACCCCGTTGCGGGGATTCGAACCGCCGACTTTCTGATCCGCAAGCCCTAGGCTCTGTGGTTTAACCCACAGTGCCACCCGCGTCCCAATAATCTTATTTGAACTGAGTTAAGAACAAAATGAACAAAAAATCCATGTACTTGGCTACAGGATTTTCTCCCGTGGGATGAGTTCAGTTTTCCCCAGCCTTTGCCAGTGCATTTGACAGATGCACTTTCCAGTGTTTCAAGCAGTTGTCAGTGGTGCATCTCCCCACCTCATGCTTCTATAGGGGCTGCCTTGTTTTTAAAAAATGCATGTGTTTAGTAGATGATTAGGCAAATTATTGATGAATAAGGCTACCAAAAGGGACATGGGTGGCGCTGTGGGTTAAACCACAGAGCCTAGGACTTGTGGATCGGAAGGTCAGCGGTTTGAATCCTTGCAACGGGGTGAGCTCCCGTTGCTCTGTCTCTGCTCCTGCCAGCCTAGCAGTTTGAAAGCACGTCAAAGTGCAAGTAGATAAATAGGTACCACTCTGGCGGGAAGGTAAACGGCGTTTCCGTGCGCTGCTCTGGTTCGCCAGAAGCAGCTTAGTCATGCTGGCCACAAGACCCAAAAGCTGTATGCCGGCTCCCTCGGCCAATAAAGCCAGATGAGCACCGCAACCCCAGAGTCGGTCACGACTGGACCTAATGGTCAGGGGTCCCTTTACCTCAAGGCTACCAGTGGCTACTATCCATGGTGGTTGACATCGTCCTTCCACTGTGCCTATGGCTAGTCATTTTCGTGAAAGCCCTCCCACTGCCTCGCCCCAATCCTGCCCCGTGTTAATATGTATGAGGGGGAAACTTTGCCATATTGGGGTGGGCATATTAGCCTCGGGCATCAAAATATCTTGAGCCCCACTCCCCATGGGACAGAGCACTTTGTCTGCCTCCCAATTTCCTTCTGTCCTTTTCTGCGGCTCACATGGGACTTTGAGGCCTGACCAGATGGAGAGTATTTTCCCTGGCTCCAAGCCCCCTTTTTGCCTCTTGCATTGGAGGAGAGGCTCTGGAGGAGTTGGGGTGTATGTAAAATAGCTGGTATGGTTGCTTTCATTGCTTAGGCCTGCCTGGTAACTCCACCGCAGGGGTAGGCAACCTAAGGTCCATGGGCTGCATGCGGCCCAATCGGCCTCTCAGTCCGGCCCGCGGCCGTTCTGGGAACCGGCATGTTTTTACATGAGTAGAATGTGTCCTTTTATTTAAAATGCATCTCTGGGTTATTTGTGGGGCATAGGAATTTGTTCATTTCCCCCCCCCCAAAAAAAATATAGTCCAGCCCCTCACAAGGTCTGAGGGACAGTGGACCGGCCCACGGCTGAAAAAGGTTGCTGACCCCTGCTGTACCGCCTAATCTCTGCAGTTTGTCAGACCCTCTGTCCAGTTTGTCAGACCCTCTGTCGTGTTTTCCCCCCCCAAAGTGAGTTTACTATGTTATGCCAACTGCCTCCCGAAAGCCACATTTGCCATATTTAGGGCCTGCAGCCACCTCAACATCATCCGTTTAAAGCACTGCAATAGATGCCACATTAAACAGTCGTGGCTTCCTTAAAAAAAACCCTGGGAACTGTAGTTGGTTACGGGTGCTGAGAGCTAGAATTTCCAGCCGTACTTGGGAAGAGGGATGAGCTGTTAAGCCACTCTGGGAGGGGAATATTACCACTTTAAACAGCCATGGCTTCCTGCAACCCAGAGCCACAATTCCCAGAGTGGTTTAAGAGCTTGTCCCTCTTCCCAGTAACCAACTACAGTTCCCAGCTTTCTTGGGGAGTGTTTAAAGTGGTCTGAGAGTGCGTCAGCTATTCAGTGTGAACGCGGCTGGTCTCTTTAACAGGACTTGGAGGCGAAACTATAGGCCTGGAGATCCTGTCTGGCGCTGGGCCATGGATTTCTGCCCAGCAAAGTTCTCTTAAAGGGACAGGAGTAGGCAAGGTGGTTTCTGGCTTCGGGTTTTGTTGTTGGCAGCCGAGTTACTCCTTTTTTAAAAACATTAAACTGGGCCCCTGCTGCTGTGCTGTGTTTTCGGGTCGGCCTGACCTACAGACGTTTTGGCAGGTGAAGACACCCGGCTGCTAAATATATGCGAGATCAACAAAGAGTCTTGCGACACCAGGGGCCGCGAACCTTGCGGGGCGGGGGCCGCATGCCGGGAAGAGGGCTGTCGCTCCCCTCTTTGCTTATCAAATGATTGATATTTGATCATATCAATGGGCGGGGGGGGGGTGGAACGACCGGCCACCCTCCTTGAATTTTTGTGTGGCTTTGCCTCCCATCGCCAACATTTGTAGGGTCTTTGGGATGGGGAGAGGGCAGGAAACGCTCCGTGGGCCAGACTGAGCTTGCCACCCCTGCCTTAGAGAGGCTTAGCAAAATAATTAGGGCCTGAAAGCTCAGTGCCATAATAAATCAAGTCTGGGGTGCCGCCAGAGTCTTGGTTCTTTTTCCTCCGTGGAAAATGCGGATCAGGTGGCAATTCAAAGCCAAAACAGCAGAGCCAGTCTCCAAATGGAGGGGCAGCTTTGACATTGGAGGTGGTGCTGGGGGGGTTGAGTTAGGGGGCCCTATTTTTTTCCCTTTCTCTCCTTGGGATCCTCAATATGTTGCTTCTTTGGTTCAACCTTGGGCCTCTTTTCTGCTCTTTCTCCTTTCTTCTTTCTTCTCTCTCCGCCCCCCCCCCCAATATATCTCTGTGTCTGTCTGCCAAAAGTTGCTACCCCTTTTCTGGGCCCGCCGTCGCCGTGGCAACGACCTCGGGGTGACCTAGTCTCCTGCCAAGCGACAAAAGAGGAAGGAGGCACCAGGAGGGGGGGAGGGAGGAGGGGAAGCCCACCAAGGAAGGGCAGGAAAGGGGGGGCTGGGATGCCTCTGTGTGTGTGTGTGTGTGTGTGTGTGTGTGTGTGTGTGTGTGTGAACATGGCCGCCCCACCGTTAACTCCTTCCTTCCCCCTGCCTTTTTAGGACTGAGCATCCGAAGCTCCCAGGAGGAGGAGCCGGTGGACCCCCAGCTGATGCGCTTGGACAATATGCTGCTGGCCGAGGGGGTGGCCGGCCCAGAGAAAGGGGGTGGGTCTGCGGCGGCGGCAGCAGCGGCGGCGGCGGCAGGGGGGGTGTCCCCAGATAACTCCATTGAGCACTCCGATTACCGCAACAAGCTCTCCCAGATCCGCCAGATCTACCACTCGGAGCTGGAGAAATACGAGCAGGTAAGGATGGTGGTGGTGCTGATTATATACGTTGTATTCCTGCCCTGCGTTTTTCCCAAGTTGGGACTCGCGGCGGCTTCCACCATGTTCAAGCACACCCATTATGAAATGCAAAAGCAAGCCAGTTAACAACACGTAGTTGGAACCACATTGAAACACGTTTGGGGGCGCCAGTTTAAAATCCAGCTTGCTTGGCGGCGCATCAGTTTTCAAAGGCCTGTCTGAACAGGAAGTTCTTCGTATACGTAACAAGGAGGGAGACAGACGTTTCTAACCTCTCCTGGGAGCAGTGTTGGAAACTCAGATGTATAAACTAGGTGCCAAACGGCACCTTAAATAATAATAAAATAAATTTTATTTATATCTTGCCCTCCCCAGCCGAAGCCAGGCTCAGAGCGGCTAACAACAGTAAAATAATACAGCATTCTAAAATCAATTCATTATAAAATCAGTTCAAATCAAATTGATGGCAACCGTTGGGCTAGAGTTCTATTACCAAATCTAAGTTACGCTCAGCACAAGGGAATGTCTATTTGCCAGGAGGTTGAAATGGGTGATCATTGGGGTCCCTTCCAGTTCTGCAATTCTATAAGCTCAACTACATTGCTTGATTGTAGCTTGCTCTTCCAACAATTCACTTGAGCCAGTATGCAAAAGGGAAAACACGCACAGTGGAAATGGAAATGGTATTAACTGTGGACTTAAGGCAGAGTTTTTTTAAATGGTAGTTGCCCACCTGGTGCCCAGAAAGCTCCCATGTCGTCACAATTGGACCCATGCCGGTAGCTAATTTCCAACACTGCTTGGGAGGGAATTCCATAATATTGAAGCAGCCCAGAATAGGTTTCCGCTCTCGCCACCTCCAAGCATGAGTCCAACGTTGGTGGGATCAAGAGAAGGGGCTCACCCAAGGATCTCATCACCTGGTCAGGGTCATATAGAGAGATATGATCTTTCAGATAGCCTGGGATAAAACCAGATAGGGCTTTCTAGGTCATAACCAGGTAAGGATGTGATTATCCATTATTGCTATTATTTATTAAATTTGTATACCACCCTTCATCAGAAGATTACGGGACGGATCACAACATAAAAAATGCAAAATGAGAACTAAAAATACATAATAAAACATCCGGGTGGGGCACAGGTCCCCTACATTTGCATTAGGAGTTGGGGGCAGGGATTTTTTTTGGGGGGGGTATTAATATTCCTTGGGTTTGTGTATTGGAGCTGCTACTCCTCCAACTCAGCCTCTTCCCCTTTCTCACCTGCTCCTCGTCAGGCCTGCAACGAGTTTACGACACATGTGATGAACCTCCTTCGGGAGCAGAGCCGCACGCGCCCCGTGTCGCCCAAGGAGATTGAGCGCATGGTCAGCATCATCCACCGGAAGTTCAGCTCCATCCAGATGCAGCTGAAGCAAAGCACCTGCGAGGCTGTCATGATCCTGAGATCCCGCTTCCTCGATGCCAGGTGACTACTTCACCTATATCTGAAGTGCTTTTTTGTTTTACCTTACCTTTGGAACGCGGGTGGTGCTGTGGGTTAAACCACAGAACCGAGGGCCTGCCGATCAGAGGGTTGGCGGTTCGAATCCCCGCGACGGGGTGAGCTCCCATTGCTTGGTCCCAGCACCTGCCAACCTAGCAGTTCAAAAGCACGTCAAAGTGCAAGTAGATCAATAGGTACCGCTCCGGCGGGAAGGTAAACGGCGTTTCCGTGCGCTGCTCTGGTTTCGCCGCAACCCCAGAGTTGGCCATGACTGGACCTAATGGTCAGGGGTCCCTTTACCTTTACCTTAGCCGGGAAGAAACCCAGAGTGGCTGAAAGGGATGGGAGGGAAGAGAGAGAGGGAGAAAGCAAGCTCAGGCATCGGGTCCTAAATTCACAAGTTCTCACAATGACCAGCGGAAGAGAAGTTCATGGGAATGACTGTCCCTAGATGACAGTTGAGGCAAGCTGGTCTCTCACCAGAGACGATGGATTGGCCCCACTTCTTTTTTATTCCCTGCTCTGCAGCTTCATGCAGTGGCTGTTGCTAGGGAGTACAGTGGTTGACTGGCTCAAAAATTGGTGCTGCCAAGTTCTGTTCCTTCTGCCAGCTTGATGGAGCCAGCCACCTCTGTCTACCAGGAAAGGAGAGCCCACCTCTCTGAGTTTTCTAGGGGAGGCAATTAATAATACAGTCATACCTTGGCTCTCAAACGTCTTGCAAGTCGAACGTTTTGGAACCCGAACATCCAACGCGGCTTCCGAACGTTTTGGAAGTCGAACGGACTTTCGGAACGGATTCTGTTCGACTTCCGAAGTACGACTGTACACATCCTTACACAGTGGTTAATTGATGTCTGTTTTTAACTTTATTACAGGTTTTGTTGTACGGTTTTAGGTTTTTATTGCTATATACATTGCTTTGATATGTATATTTTTATGGCACAGTGGCATTTTTTAAAAAATATATAAATAAACAAACCTTCCCTGCAGGAAAGGCAAGTGGGACGCATTCTGGCTTCATCTAATGTGCAGCAAAGGGATTCTGGGTCTCTGTGCTGAGCGCTAGCTGAAGAAACCTCCCTTCCCAGTTTGCGTTCTCCTCTGCAGGAAAGAGAGGCAAGGAGTGTGGTGTTGGGCGGTCATCTGGTCTGTTAGTGCTGATGGGGCCCCACCAACCTCAGCCTTGATTCCCCCTAGACCAGCATTCAAAATTTGCCAGCCGCATTTTGCACCTGGTTACCAGCCACTTGCAACCAAGTGAAGGTGCCTTTGCTCCATGATGGCTTCAGACATCTTCTTGATTGTTTTCTTACACTAGCAACACATGCTGTTGAATTCTATCCATTGTATTTTATCTGCACAATCAAGAATGGATTTCAGGGACCAAAAAGTTGTATGGGAAAATACGACTTTGGAGCCATCTTTCTCCAAAATGGCAACTAGGCATTCCGTTTTGGCGATTGTAACCCTGGTTTAAGGAGCCGTTTGGCGCCTAGGTTATATAACTGAGGGACACAGGTACCGCTGTGGGACGCGGGTGACACTGTGGTCTAAGCCACTGACCTTAGGGCTTGCCGATCAGAAGGTTGGCGGTTTGAATCCCCCCAATGGGGTGAGCTCCTGTTGCTCTGTCCCAGCTCCTGCCAACCTAGCAGTTCGAAAGCACGTCAAAGTGTAAGTAGATAAATAAGTACTGCTCCGGCAGGAAGGTAAACAGAAAAACTGTCTGCGGACAAAACGTTGGCTCCCTCGGCCAGTAAAGTGAGATGAGCGCCGCAACCCCAGAGTCATCCGTGACTGGACTGAACTGTCAGGGGTCCTTTACCTTACCTTTATATAACTGAGTTTTTAACACTGCCTGCCCTTCTTATGCCATTGCTTCTTTTCAAACTTGGCAGGAAGGACAGAGACAAAACACGAATAAGTTGACTCTGGTGCCCCCTAGACATAGGCGCCGACTCCATGGGGCTTGAGGGGGCCCGAGCCCCCTCAAAAATTCGTTTGGGGGGCTCCGCCCCCCAATAATCTCCGGCACCCCTCCAGCAGAGCACTATCGCTGCCCCTCCCCCAGCCCAAAATGCACAGGGAGGGGCGGGCTGCATGCCTCCTGCCCTCCCTCCCCGAGCAAAAGCTCCACCCAATTTCCTTTGGAGCTGATTAATAGGCGCAGCACGCTCTCCCCTATTCGCTCACGAGGAGGCGGCGCCACTTTATTTGCATATTCATGAGCTTATTTATTATTCATGAGCTTTCCCGGGCCCCCCCCAATATTTTTTATAAGTCCGCGTCCCTGCCCCTAGAGTTGGTCTCCTTGCCTTCTGCCCTACCACTCCGAATGGGCACAAGCCACTCCTGGTTGTGGGTTGTTGCATCCCGCCAGCACCTAACATCTCTCGCTTAAGAGAGGCAGGAAGAATGCCAGCTGCAGCTGCTGCCTATATAAGGGGTTCAGAGCTCCTTTTGCTTCTCTGCCCTGTGAAAAAGACCAGGAAGGGATTCAGGCCATACTGGTTAGCAACACTCAGGAGTAGGAAAGAGAGATCAAGGTCTGCTGGCTTGACCCTTGTGGCTGTACAGCTGCCAACCCAGTCCTCGTCCTTCCTTGGAACCGGAGAGAGGGGCAGGGGTCAGCACAAAACTTCCATTCCTTCCACAGCTTCAGAGTTGGGAGGAAGGCTTGCTGTGGCGAGCAGAACTGCTGAAACTTGATTTTGTTAATTTTTTTAAGTTGCACACTGCCTTTCAATAAGTATTTCCAGAGTAGTTCGTGGTGTTTGGTTGTGGGTGTAATAGTTTTTTTCGTTTGTTTTTTTAAAAAGACTCCAAGCGAATGATTTGATACAAGAGAAGGGAGAAAAACAGCAGGATAAAACATTCCACCATCCTGAATTTTTCATCGGGGGAAAATCAATAATATTGTCAGAGGTAGCGTATGCCTCTGAATAGCGGATGCCGGGAATCGCAGGTGGGAAGAGCTCTGCAGCACTCAGTCTAGGCTTCCCCTAGACCTTTGGCTTGACCCAGCAGGGCTTTCCTTTATATTCTTAGAGAGGATTTCACTTTGCACAGAAAAGCCATCGAAAAGCCAGGGGTAGCCAACCTTTTTATACCTACCGCCCACCAATGCATTTTTTTCTTGATGGTAAAATTTCCTTACCGCCCACCAGTGCTGCAGTAACATGTGGCATAGAACCCCTTTCCGCCCACCTGGAATCCTGAAACGCCCACTAGCTTATTTCCTTCACATCTGGTGTGAGGGCGTTCCACAGGGCAGGTGCCACCACCGAGAAGGCCCTCTGCCTGGTTCCCTGCAACTTGGCTTCTCACAGTTAGGGAACCTCCAGAAGGCCCTCGGCGCTGGACCTCAGGCTGAATGATGGGGGTGGAGACGCTCCTTCAGGTATACAGGATCAAGGCCGTTTAGGGCTTTCAAGGTCAGCACCAACACTTTGAATTGTGCTCGGAAATGTACTGGGAGCCAATGCAGATCTCTCAGGACCGGTGTTATGTGGTTCCGGCGGCTACTCCCAGTCACCAGTCTAGCTGCTGCATTCTGGATTAATTGCAGTTTCCGGGTCACCTTCAAAGGTAGCCCCACGTAGAGCGCATTGCAGTAGTCCACCTGTGGAAATCTAGCATGTTAGGGGAATGAGTTCTAGGGCAGCTGTCCACTCTTCATTAATTAAAATTTTGCATCGGTTATAGTTTAATTCCTCCACCTGTTTTAATTATGCAAATTGAGTAAATGTTTGTGTTTGAAATCTTTACCTTTTCTTGGCATAATTCTGCATTTGCTAGGAGAGAGGCAACGATCTAGGCACAACACTGAAGACCTGTTCCCCAATCTCTGGCAACCTCAGTGGTTCCCTGTTTCCCCCCTGGGATTTCAACAGGCATTGCTAACATACTTTTAGGAAAGATGTTGTAGCCATAAGGGCTAGATTCCTGTCTCCTTAAAACATAAAATAGAAATATCTGATTCAGAAGAAGCTGAATGGCGCACCAAGGGTGGACAGTGGACTGTTTCAGCACTCCTGCAAAACCTCTGTATACTTGTATCTGGCCTGGTATCTGGCCAAGCCTCCGGCCTGACACATATTGACTTTTGCATGTTAGTTTCCAACAAAAGCGGGCAATAAACAAAACACACAAGGGATGTTCAAATCATGCAATTTGTCAAGTGGCACAGCGCTAGGAGGGATGCCACACATTTTATCAGAGCATATAGCCCAGCCTCTAATTCTCCTCGTGTCTCTAACCTTTTGAGGGCCTCTTGCAGATGCCACCTTCTCTGGAGTCTACTACACAATATAGGCCTTCAGGGTGGCGGCACCTGGCCTGTGGAATTCCCTCCCATCAAATGTCAGGCAGACATGGTCTCTGTTGCCGTTGTGGCGCCTTCCTCTTCCTACAAGCCTTTTAGAATCATTGAATTTTAGAGTTGGAAGGGACCCCGAGGGCCATCTAGTCCAACCCCCTGCAATGCAGGAATCTCAGCTGAAGCATCCATGACAGATAGCCGTCCAACCTCTGCTTAAAAACCTCCAAGAAAGGAGAGTTCACCACCTCTCATGGAAGTCCGTTCCACTGCCGAAGAGCTCTTACTGTCAGAAAGTTTTTCCAGATGTTTAGTTGCAGTCTCCTTTCTTGTAACTTGAAGCCATTGGTTCGAGTCCTACCCTAGAATCATAGAATCCTAGAGTTGGAATAGACCACAAGGGCCATCGAGTCCAACCCCCTGCCAAGCAGGAAACACCATCAGAGCACTCCACCACACTCCTTGGCAGCAAATTCCACTGTCGAACAGCTCTTACTCTCAGGAAGTTCTTCCTAATGTTTAGGTGGAATCTTCTTTCTTGTACTTTGGATCCATTGCTCCGTGTCCGCTTCTCTGGAGCAGCAGAAAACAACCTTTCTCCCTCCTCTATATGACATCCTTTTATATATTTGAACATGGCTATCATATCACCCCTTAACCTCCTCTTCTCCAGGCTAAACATGCCCAGCTCCCTTAGCCGTTCCTCATAAGGCATCGTTTCCAGGCCTTTGACCATTTTGGTTGCCCTCCTCTGGACACGTTCCAGTTTGTCAGTGTCCTTCTTGAACTGTGGTGCCCAGAACTGGACACAGTACTCCAGGTGAGGTCTGACCAGAGCAGAATACAGTGGCACTATTACTTCCCTTGATCTAGATGCTATACTCCTATTGATGCAGCCCAGAATTGCATTGGCTTTTTTAGCTGCCGCGTCACACTGTTGGCTCATGTCAAGTTTGTGGTCAACCAAGACTCTCCCTATGGAGAGAAATGTGGGGCCCGGAATTGTTGTCATCACTTGGCATCCTGAGCTCCTTTTGAAGGAAGGGCGGGGTACAAATTTAATAAATAACAATACAGTGGTACCTTGGGTTACATAACGCTTCAGGTTACAGACTCCGCTAACCCAGAAATAGCACCTTGGGTTAAGAACTTTGCTTCAGGATGAGAACAGATATCGTGCTCCAGTGGCGCAGCGGCAGCAGGAGGCCCCTTTAGCTAAAGTGGTGCTTCAGGTTAAGAACAGTTTCAGGTTAAGAACGGACCTCCAGAACGAATTAATTACTTAACCCGAGGTACCACTGTAGCTCGGTTCCACCACCCCGATACCCGCGGGTATAGGGCGAAATGCAAATTTCATAAATAACAACAATAATTCTGGATTCCGCATGCTGCACACCCACCCCACTGCTTACCCCGACTGCCTTTCTTTTCCTCTTCCCAAATTGCTGCCTCTGCCAACCCTGCGCATCTTTTTTTTTCGCTCGCAGGCGGAAGCGGCGCAATTTCAGCAAGCAGGCTACGGAGGTGCTCAATGAGTATTTCTACTCTCACCTGAGCAACCCTTACCCCAGCGAAGAGGCCAAAGAGGAGCTTGCCAAGAAGTGTGGAATCACAGTCTCACAGGTACCCGGGTGTGTGTTGGGGGGGTGAGGTGGGGGGGCAGGCCCCAGGCTGTGCTAGAGAGGCCCCTGAGTATGGGACAGGGTTGGCTGGGGAGGGGAGGAAAAGCTCATTGTTTGGCTGACCTGTCAATACATAATCCCCTCCCCTTCCCTCCCCACCCCTCTTTTCCCCCCTCATTCCCTCCCCACTTCCCATCCCTTCATGTTTGACCTTCCCTCCCCCCCCCCCCGACTTCCCCCCTCCCTCCTTCCAGGTCTCAAACTGGTTCGGGAACAAGCGCATCCGCTATAAGAAGAACATCGGCAAGTTCCAAGAGGAAGCCAATATTTACGCCGTGAAAACGGCTGTCAGCGCCGCACAGAGTGGGGGCGACTCCCCCAACACCCCCTCCTCCGCGGGTAACTCCCCTCCCCCCCGAAAAAAAAGCTCCGCCACACCCCATGTTGGTGCGGGAGTCCTCCTCGCTGGGGTTGGAGAAACGTGGAACCCTCCCCTCCAACATGCGCTGGAGTTCCCGAAGGAGATCCCTCCAACACCAGCGCCCCCGCCCCACTCCCCCATGGTCAGTGTGCGCGCCCCCTCCTGGGCGCAGAGCGGCGAGGTGCCCCCTCACACCCCGCTCCCCCACACGCCCGTGTTTGCGTCCCCCCCGTCAGCCTTGGAGTAGCCAAGGCTTCCTCCTGCAGGCAGGTCGTCTCTGCTTGCTTCTTCAGCTAGTTGCCTTTTGCAGTGGTGTTCACCTTTCTCTTTGCTTGAAGCAACCATGCGTTCCACCCCCAGTCACCCTGTTGCTGTCTTTCGCTCCCGCCCCTTCCTCTGTTTTCTGGCAGGCTCCGGCGGCTCCTTCAACCTCTCCAGCTCTGGGGATATGTTCATGGGCCTTCAGGGTCTGAATGGAGACTCGTATCCCACATCACAGGTCAGTTCCTTTCCCTCCTGGGACAGCTCGGGGCATGCTCTAGTTATCTCCCACATGGACTACTGCAATGTGCTCTATTTGGGGCTGCCTTCGAAGGTCACCCGGAAACTACAATTACTCCAGAATGGGGCAGCTAGACTGGTGACTGGGAGTGGCCGCCGAGACTATGTAACACCGGTCCTGAAATACCTACATTGGCTCCCAGCACATTTCCGAGCACAATTCAAAGTGTTGGTGCTGACCTTTAAAGCCCTAAAAGGCCTCGGCCCAGTACAGTCATACCTTGGGTTACAGATGCTTCAGGTTGCGTTTTTTGGGGTTGCGGACCGCCGAAACCTGGAAGTACTGGAGCGGGTTACTTCCGGGTCTGCAACCCCAAAAAACACAACACTTCCAAAATACTAGCAGAAGTCTTATTTTTCTGTAAAAATGAAAAGAGAAGAAAATTAGAGGAAATTGGCAATTTTAACAAACTTTCCCTGTCCCCTGTAGAAAAAAAGAGAGGAAAGATTGACGTAAAGTGGAAAATATACGCTACATAGCAAAACAGTGCCGTAAATCAGTTGACAGTTTTGAGTAAACTCCACATTGCTCGATTCTTCTTAACACCCACTCGAGTCTTCATGAGAAGTTTTCAGCCCAACGTAACTGCTGCTCCTGTCTTATTCTCCCCATCTCTGCTGCCATTCTGCCCTTTTGATGTGTCTTCCCTCAACTACTAGGTGGAATCGATGCGTCACTCGATGGGGCCAGGGGGCTACGGGGACAGCATGGCTGCCAGCCAAATGTACAGTCCACGAGAAATGAGGGTGAGTTTGTGCGTCGGGAGACTTGATCCAGCTGGTTCTCACCGAAGAGGTAACGTTGTTCTGTCTGGGATGTATTGCTTTGGACTGCTTGCATGTCAGGGCTCACGCTATACGAGAGTCCTGCTAGATAAGGACAAAGGTCCGCCTAGGCCCCATCTGCACCAAACATTTCAAGCATTGTCATGCTACTTTAGGCACTCGCGGTTTTCCTGAAAGAGTTCTGGGAACAGTAGTGCTTAGAGTTGTAATTAGACCCCTATTCCTTCTCACTGAGCTATAATTCCCAGAGCGGTCAAACAATCAGTCCCACTTATGCGATATATATACGATATCTTTATTGTCATTGTCCCATACAGAACAATGAAATTGAAAAACTACATAAAACGTTCAAAAACCCCTAAAAACTCTGAAACCCCATTTTAAAATACACTACACCAGGGGTCTGCAACCCGCGGCTCCGGAGCCGCATGTGGCTCTTTTACACCTTTGCCGCGGCTCCGGGGCAGATACTAGCGAGGGGAGGAGGTGATTTGTGCGCCCCGAAACTCCCCACTGTGGCAGGCGCTGTACTGGTTGTGACGTCGCATGGGGGTGGTGCGTGCATTAGTCACGCACTGTCCCGACGTCACCTTCCCGGTTTTGCGGCTCCCAGTTTTTTCTTCTTCGGAAAAAGGGTCCAAGTGGCTCTTTTTGTCTTAAAGGTTGCAGACCCCTGCACTACACTACACTACACTATTACTATTACTATACTATAAAAACCCCTAAAAACTCTGAAACCCCATTTTAAAATACACTACACTACACTACACTACACTACACTACACTACACTACACTACACTACACTACACTACTATACTATACTATACTATACTATAAAATACACTGTACTATAAAATACACTATACTATAGAGACCCCTTATACTGCGTTTAGAACCAGAATTGAATTTGCGTAGAAACTGTTTCTCAGGCGGCTAGTCCTGGCCTTTATAACCCTATACCTTCTTCCAGAAGGCAGAAGCTGAAAGAGATCATTTCCGGGGTGCTTCACAGAGAAATTGAAGCTGTGAGCTGGAATTGCGGTCTTCTGGTCCCTCTCAGCCAGGAGTTCCCAAGATTCTTTTGAGGGAAAGGCATTGGTTTTGATTTGGTTTAATATTTGCATTCCAACAACAAGCGCTGAGCTCAAAAGCGGCTCACAGTAATCACAACAGCGCTGGAAAAAACCAAACATTGCAATCATTATAATATCTAACGCAATAGCGTATAAATAAAGCAGACTGCAGTGACAGGGTCATCAAAACAATTAATACAGTTCAATAAAGCCGTGACTGTTTAAAGTGGTATCGTAGGTATTTGAAATGTATAGGCTGTAGTCCAACTCCTGTTTTCCACAGTGGTCAAGCCACTAGCAGAGCAGGAATGCAATAGCCTGGCAGAGGTTGTTCGGTGATACACGGCTTCTGAATGTGGAGATTTCATTTAACCAGTTGTGGTTTCTAGCCATTCTCTTATGGGTGGAATCCATTTGGTGTCCCAGCACTCACAGAGGTGTGCTTTTGATGGGGAAGAATCTGCTAAGAGAAGAGGAGTTAAAGGAGATTTTGCCAGTTCCGTGTGCAGCCCTTCCATCTATTCTGGAAGGCTTCCCAATTCTTTGGGGCTGCAGGGGGATATCTGCAAAAATTCCCTCCCTCCAATTTCCGTATGCAAAAGCCGCCCCCCTTGCTGCAAGGACACCAATTGGATTCCACCTCGCAAATCCTCCCTCTAATCCCCTTTTAAAACGATCTGAGCTTGAAGGCCATTGCCACAGCTTCCAGGCTGACATTTAATTATGCCTTGTGTGTGTGAAGAAGATTTGGTTTGAGGAGATTCAGGGACTGAAGATATTTTTCCTCTCCTGGACCTCACAAGAACCCAAGTGAGGGTAGAGGATTGTGCCCAGTGTGGTGAACTGTGTAACAGCAGCTTGTGGCGGTTGCAATATCTGAATGCTCCCACATCAATAAACTGCATTCCTGCCAGTAAAACTAAAGAAAACCACTATCTTTGGGGACAGCCTAGACTCGAACCATCTGTGCACATGCTCGGCGTTAAACATAATTACAGTTCTATGTCCGGAAAGGCTGAATATCAATCCATTCAAATATTTTATTCTGGCCTTGCTAGCGATGGGGGAGGTGAGGTAGTGGGAGTCCTGCCCCATTCAATGGCTTCAAACGCCACAGTGGCTTCTGAGATTTCAGCAAGCATTCCAGCATGTTTCCTAAGTACAGTGGTCCCTCGGGTTAAGTACTTAATTCATTCCGGAGGTCTGTTCTTAACCTGAAGCACCATTTTAGCTAATGGGGGCCTCCTGCTGCTGCTGCTGCGCCGCCAGAGCATGATTTCTGTTCTCATCCTGAAGCAAAGTTCTTAACCTGAGGTACTATTTCTGGATTAGCCGAGTCTGTAACCTGAAGCGTTTGTAACCTGAAGCGTATGTAACCCGAGGTACCACTGTAGAGTCGTGCGACCTAGGAGCCTGTTTAAAGGGACAAGCCCAAGATGATTGTGGAGCTGAATTATATGCCCACTTTTACATTCTGGTATGTGCACATTCCTCAATGGAAAGAAAGAAATACGAGGTTTTCTTTCTTACTTGGTGAAGCTTAGTAAAATGATTCATCTGAGTCCAAAGTAGTTAAGGGTCCAGGAGAAGCTTTTTATCATGTGATCTTCTGTTTGCACGGGCTGCTCATTAGATCCAATAAAATACAGTGGTGCCCCGCAAGACGAACGCCTCGCAAGACGGAAAACCCGCTAGACGAAAGGGTTTTCCATTTTGGAGACGCTTCGCAAAACGAATTTCCCTGTGGGCAAAAGTCCTCCGCTGTCCCGGGGTTTTTTAAAATGCTGGCGGGCGGCAGCGGAGGCTTCGCTGCCGCCCGCCAGCATTTTAAGATCGCCCCGGGACAGCGGAGAAGTCTCCGCTGTCCCGGGGTTTTTTTTAAATGCTGGGTGTGGGAAGAAAAGCCCTTGTCCCCCCCCCCCCAGCCTTCAGAAGAGGTCGGGGGACAGACTGTCCCCGGACCTGGTCTGAAGGCGGTTAATAAAGGGAGTCAACACACATACACACCCACACCCACCCACCCCTGAACTCTTTCTTTCTTCTACCGTAGAACTGTTTTTGATAGCAAAATTAGGGATTCAGAGAAGAGTTGGGCAAGTTGCTGGCACCTAATGGTCTATAATGGTGCCAAGGGAACAAACACTCCCCAGTCTCTGGGAAAGCGGAGCTAGGAGAACTCCCACGGAAAGGAAAAGAGGTTTAGCAGGTTGGAACTTTTCAAGAAACTGCAAATTAACGTGCCTCTACTTTTTTTTTTTTTTGGTAACAACTGTTTCTCTCCTTTTTTTTCACCAGGCCAATGGCGGCTGGCAAGAAGCAGCCACCCCATCCTCTGTGACCTCCCCAACAGAAGGTCCTGGTAGTGTCCACTCTGACACCTCCAACTGATCCTGCTGGGCTGCGCTCCCTCCTCTGTCGTTTTCTTCCTGGCTCCAGTGGGGGGGGGAGGGAATTAACCCTAGTGCTGAACTAGGCTGGGCAGGGAAAGAACTCGTCTTTTCTCCCACCTGGCAGGAGATCACTGCACCACCCGCAGTGCCGGGGCAGGGGAGGGAAGCAAGTACAGCATCTCTTGGCATTCAAGGTGGCAACACTCCATGGGGACGATGAATTCAAGATGGCACCCGTTGTGATCCAAGATCCTTCCATGATCCTGAACGGCACCTCTTAATAAGCAAGACGCAACTCTAGAAGCGGTGAAGGGGACCCAAGATGGTGGGAGGCGGGGTGGGGAGTGGGTGGGAGGGGCTATCTCAAGCGGTCCGTCTGCTTGGAGGGGCTAGACAGATGAGCTAATGTACCTGCAATGCGATATCATAATCTGCTGGCTCGGCCTTGTAGATAAGCACACCTGCCTCAGGGGCGTCGAGATGGCATCTAAACTGCTTATCGTGGGATTGCGATTCAAGATGGCAGCAGCAACGGGTCTCTTGGTAGTAGGATGAGCAGAGACGTTGGCCGAAGAGGGCTTAAGTTGGCATCTCTCCATGATGGGATGATTCCAAGATAGCAAACTGGCGTCTTCCTGTCGAGATTTGAACATGGCATGTATATATAAAAAGAGAGAAGGGAAATCAGGCATGGATCCTGTCTGGACTCAAGGTGGGCATCTCCTTTGCTGGTGCACACCAGAGACACCAACATCCTTATGAAATATTTTGGCAGAAAACGAACATGTAAGGCGATACAAGGGCCTCGCTGCAAGATTGTGTGGAGCCACGGCGAAACCCTCACCTAGGCTGGAGAAACCGTTATACCTCTCAGTGAATAGGTTCCCTGGGTATGAAGATCTAAGATGGCTACCATCTGAATCAGAAAGGGGATATAGCCATGAAGAGAATTTGTGAGGGGCCCAAGATGTTACAGACCGGTGCCTTTCCATTAGGCCAGAAGTGGGAAACCCTTGACCTTCCAACGGTTGTTGGGCTTCAGCTGTTGGCCATGCTGGAGTTGATGGGAGATGTTGTTAATCAACATCTGGAGAGCCAAAGGTTCCCTGCTAACCTTTGTCAGAACATACTGTGGTACCTTTTATCAGAAAGAAAGTGGGGGCTGGCTTTTCAAAATGGCGGTTCAAGGTAATAGGGGAGGGGAAGTAGTAATACGCACAAACTTCCTATCTCCTAGGCAGGACTAGAAGTTGTGGGGGAAGCCATAGGGCTAAGAGAGCCCAGCACACCCCACATTACACATGCTGTATACTGTAGCTTCATTATGGGGGATGGGGGGTCTGCTTTTCTTTCTGTCAAATCTCTTGCTTTCTGAGCTGGTTTGGGGGGTTTTTTTGCCTCTTCTCTCTCCATTTCAGTTTATCCCATTGTAACCATTTCTTATTGTGTGTACAGTTTCTTGAGGTTTTTTTCTCTGCTGTTTCTTATATTCTTGATATTTCCCCCCTGTTAAGTTCTTTTCCCTTTCTCCACCCCATCACCATCTTAGGGTTTTTCCGCCTGGTCTGACCATGCACAATCAGATAGGTTTCTAAATGTCACAATCCTCTTTGTGTGATATTTGCGCAGGCCCTAATTTCGTTCAACATGGAGAAAATGACCTTTAAATATATATTTCAAAGGAAGTTTACAGAATGGTGGAGATACAGGTTGGGCATAGCAGTATCCCTTCCCATTAAATGGATATGCTGTGTATCTGGGACAAACTATAAATTATGTTAAATTCACCATTTCATTTCTTCACTTTTAAAAACAGACATGTGGAGCAGTGACTGGTTCCAAAAAATCCCCCGCCACACCCAAAAATGTCTGCTTGCCTTGGAAGGAAAGCTTCCATTAATGAAATTGCTTCAGGGGGCCTTTTTATTGGCAAGAGTCCTGCTTGCAGTTTTTGTTTTTTTTAAAACCCACCAGGTTAATTGATGGGACTTAATGTAATGTATGGTTTAAAATGGGGTTTGAAGCCCCTGTGGTCGGAAAGTAGGTCCTGATGGATGGGTGTCCTTGAAAGGGAATCTGCCCACCCTCACCCACCAGTCAAAAGAGTGGGGGGGGGACAGTAGGCTTGGTTGAGCGTATATTCTCTCAATTCACATCTGGTGATGGCCTGACAGAGTGTGGATTGTTCAGATGCCCCAGGAATACTCCCAGAATCCTCTGCAACTGGGTAGAGTCTCTGGCAGATCTGCAAGGGATGGAGAAACTGAAGGTGGGAAAACAAGGAAAGTGCTACAGTACCAGCCAGGGAAATTGCATTTTGCCAGGGACAGCGTATTCTGGTTAAATGCTCTGGCAGCGCAATAGTCTTTCAAAGGAAGGGACAGATACGAGGGGAGGTTTGGGAACAAAATAGGAAATATTATTTGTTGTGCAACCACCCCCTGCTCCAGAACCCTGATTTGTGCAGAAAAGCTCACTCAATGCTTCCATTTTTCCTTTAGCCCAATGCAAATATGGAGGATTTGAACAAACCAAAAGCATTACTCCAGTATCCCATCTTCATTGATTTCCTTCCCTCCCTTTGCTCCTATGAATTCCAGCCCAAAGGGGTCGCTAGCGATGCTTGGGAAGCTAGTATAGTTTATATTTCAAAGGACTGTTTTATCCAGAATTGAGTAAGGAGTTTCCCCCACTGTGATGGAAAGAAATGGTATGAGTGTGTAAATAGTTTTGCTTGGGAAGCGAATGACCTGAATGAGAGGCAGAAGCTGAGGAGGGAGACAAGGAAAATCTAGTAAAGCAAATCTAGTAAAAACCACACAGAATGGATCCAAGTGCACAAGAGCAAATAGTGGGTGAGAAATACGAAATAGGAGAAAGCGATATCAAAAGTAGTGAGAGGTGGGAATGAGACACAGTGGGAAAACATAAATGGTAGGGAGATAAGCTAAAATCTCCCGGCAAGAGAATATGAACTAAGGAAGACAAATCTGAAGGGCAGGAATATTGAAACTCGAAAGAGTTTGGAACTAACGAAGAGTTTGCAGGCTGGAAAGAGGGAAATTAGAAGAGTAGTGGGAAAGGATTATAAAGTAGAAAAGATCCAATAGATTGGGGGGGGGGAGAGAGAGAAATCACGCATTCAGCGGCACTTGTTCACAAGAGGAATGTGTACTTGGATCAGAAAATAAGATTTGGACGTGAGAAGATACCAAAATAAGACTCGAAAGACGGAATGTGGATAAAGGCAATCGGATTGCAAAAGATGACGAAGGAATGGTCCAAAGGACGGAGGAAAGGCCTGCTTGTGGAAGTTGCCAAAGCCGAAGGGATTCAGACCCAAGGGTGGACATTGGGTGCGACAGGCGCAAATCCTGATGGCACAAGAGACCCATTAGGAGCAACGGAAACCCACATAAGACTTTTCAAGTTGCTCTCCCCCTTGCTCGCAGGGAGGGCTCCATGCTAGTCAGTCCAATAGCTTTATTACCTCATGGCGCAAGAAACCAATAGAGTCTTGGGACAGAGACCTTTTGAACCTGCTACCTCTGTGTGCCCTGCGGGGGTTTTTTGGGGGGAGAACAGTGCTGTGAGACACCCCCCCCAAAAAAAAACACCTCCCTGCCCCGTTCCCTTTGACTGAGGGTATTGGGGCTCATCACCCTGACTGGCCGTTTTGACTTGTTCTGTTTTGGGTTTGTTTTGTTTTCTTGCTCTAGATTGCCTTTGCTTTTATTATCATTTTTCTTCTATAAAATTGAAGACAGTTTTTGCCCTGGGATTCATTTGGGTAAAAGGAGGAGGAAATGAGTGGGGAGGAAAGTCTGGTTCACCCCCAAAACACACACACCTGTTTGCTGGGTATCTATACAAGCCCAAACCACAGAGACCAAACCACACTTTGCACCATTCAGACCAGTTTGCAGTGTGTGTGGGAAAGCTCAAAATGTCTTGTGGCAGAAGCGCTTACGTGCCAATACATATTTGTGAACCACTCTTATTTGGGGGGTTTTTTCCACCATGCCAATGTCCACTGTGGTGGGGGTTAGAATAGCTTTGTCTGGTGAAAGCACCTGAACCATATGAGAAACCACTTCACACAGCTTGCCACATGAAGCTGCTTACAAAGTTGTTTCGAGCAATTTGCCTAGCGCAACATTTAATCTCTGTTCTGGTCCTTGGTGGCTGACGGCAGCCATTTTGTTTCTTAGGCCGAGGGGTTAGGATTGCCACTTGGCCAATTTCTGACTGATGTACCTGTTCTGTTTCTTACAAAACAAAACAAAACCAGGCCCTGCAGCTTATTCCTTATGGTTTTGATTTTCTCTTTTAAGTGGTAATCCTAAAACAATGGCTGGTTGTCTGCCAACACGAGGAAAGATAAATGAGGTTAGGACACCCATGTTGAAACAGTTCCCGCACACAAATTCCAATTGGATCTATTTGAATTGACAACATAAGTTACAGCCTTAAGGCCAAACTAGATGTGTAGTTTCCCCCCCTCTCACAGTATTTTCTTTTTCTTTTTAACAATAATAGTGGGGGTGGGCTTAATTATTTCTGTGTGATTATATGTTTTGTAACTTCTATATTTTACCAGGTGAGGCAAGTGGGGTGAGGGGGTGGTTTAGTATGTGACTGGGAAAACGGTCTGTGTGACTGGGGAAGGATTCACACGACATTCCTCCATTCCAATATGCAGCCTTCTGGTGTAGTTATACAAAACAAGATCGCAATGGAAGGAGATTTCCAGAACCTGGTTCTCCTGCCGACCCGTCCAGATTAGCTAGAAGCAGTGCTTTTTGTGTGCGACAGTGCTCACCAGTACAGAGCACTGCCATGTCATTTATTTATTTTTGGATGCCCATGGCAGCCATTTTGTTCTGGCACCCTCAGCATTTCTTTTGAGTACTGGCACCTCTTTATTTTTTTAACAACTAAAGCAGTGCCAGGAAAGGCCCTGAATGGCACACTTATGAGAATGATAAAATGAGTGAGCCAGATTCCCATTTCTGGTGGTTGTCATTTGGTACCAATGATTGGGGGGTGGCTCTTCCCCATTTTTAATTTTTTTGGGGTTTTTTTTGGTGTGCACCTTAACATCTAACAAACAGGTGCAGAAGTTTGGGAACCACTGCACTAAATAATACCGCTGACCTGACTAGCCGGTTGTCAGCCCTGCCCAGTTTATACACCATTTAAGACGCAGGTTTTGAGACTCTTTTGGGGCAGGCTTAATATTTCAGGAGGTCCCAACATGATGCACCTGTAATGGAAACCACCATTGTGGCAATTTCCACCCCTTGTGAGACTGTTAAAAAGATGCACCAGTGCTGTTTGTGGAGTGGTTTATATGCCTCTGCGCTTTCTTCACCCTACACTGGAATACGGTGCATGTGTGCACCCAACATGCCCAGCCACAGGAGCAAACGGGAAGCTTTTGCTGTTTGCGTCTCTCCTGCTGGAGGCTATGAGATGGCAGGGTCTAACCTGCTCCCAGCTCTGTCCCATGGCCCTACCACGGTGGTGTTGAAATAAAAAGCCCATGACCCACATGGAAGCATAGGTGAGCTGGAGGGGAGAACAAAAGCATTTAAGAGGCACACGGAGGCATGTAAACAGAGAAAGAACGGCAGAAGGGGAGTGAGGAGGCACTGGGACACAGATAAGAGATCCTACAGCCCTCATGATGTTAGGCTGTTACCCCATCATGGCTGACGGGAGTTTGGAAGGACCATAGATTTTCCAGGCATGCTGGAAGAATGGAGAACCCCAAATTTCAGTTCATTGGCTGGGGTGGGGGATCCTTTCATTGGTACAGCTATGATTGAGATTTGTCATTGTGATGATCCCCTAAGTCTCAGGGAATTGCCACTGCAAATCTGAAGCAAGGCTTTACCAACAGAAGTGTCATGGCTCCCTCCCCAAAGCATTCTGGGAATTGACATTGGGTAATGTTTCTGAGGATTCTGTTGCAACCCCCAAGCTACGCCCTGACATAACAAGCATCCACACCCAGCCCACGTCTATTAAATGTTTACTCGGGAGCAAGTCTTGCCGAGTTTAATAGATTATGCTCCCAAGTATGTGCAGAAGACTAACCTTTGGCTACCTTGGTGGCGGTGAAGTTAAATGGAGAGTTAATTAAGATGTCTGGGCGAGAGTATACACACAGGATCTTTCAAGGTGCATATTCAAGATTTCTCATGTCTTAACATGCATAAAAGGATAAGTAATGTGGTAAAATCGTGGTTCCGTTTCCCCCTATTTTTCTTTATGCTTTTTGAACACTCATCTCCCGGAGTGGGCTATGGTGTCCCTCACAGAGTCTGTTATAACACTGAATGTCCCACTCACCTGCATTTTTAACTACCCAAAGATCAAAATGGGCTCTTTTCTGGGCTAAGTAGCCGTCTTAGTAACATTAGACCAAAACTGGCTCCCTGCCCTTTTGGCATGGATGCAATTGTTTAATTTGGAGGGGTGGTGTGACTGCCTTTTCCCCAGTGTAGTAATGACAGTGATGCAGAAAGAAAGCTTCTGTTGGATTTTTACTGTCGAAAGTCACAGAGGTCCCGTCCCCACCCCCAAAGTTGGCTTCCCTGAGGTGGAGTCTTTACTTCCTTGCAGGCAGAAGCCTAAGCAAAGGGATCCACAAATACAGAGGGCCTTTGGAGGCTTCAGAGGAAGGATGGATTTCAATTGTGGGGGGAAATATACTCTGGAGGTTCCCCCATCACTCTTGTACAGTTTTGCCTAAACAATAAAATATATTTTTTTCCACTGGTGCTTTCCCATTATTTCTACTTTAGAGAACTTAAAGAGTTCCGAGTTAGCAGGCATACTACAGAAAGGGTGTGCCCTCTAGATCTTCAGCTAAAGAATAGGAACTAAAGAGTAAACGCAATATAAACTGGAGGTGTCCCCCATCCCACACAAAGGACGGGGCTGTTGCTATTTAACATGTTCATGGGTGATCTGGAGTTAGGAGCGAACAGATGCCTGCATTGCAGATGGCTGGGCTAGATGATTGTGTTCCATAGGGCATGGCTGCCATCACCGTAGACAAGACCCGGTTATTCAGGATGGAAATCTGAGCAGATTTGTGAAGCCTTCCAAAAGGATTTCCCCAAACCGAGCAAATAAGGAGACCGGATAAGAGGGGCATAAATCTGCATGTTGTGGAGAGAAAGAGGATCACGTTTTTTTCTTCCTCGTGACACTAGATCTCAAGGTGCGGTACCCAACAAAGCTGATTTTTGGAAGATTCAGGGCAGACAAAGTGCTTCACACTGCACATAGTTAAAACTATGGAATTCACGCTCAAATGTCACTAACTTGGGTGGCTTTGAAAGGATTTAGACACATTTGTGACTGATGAGTCTTATCAGTGGCTGTTCCACCTTCATTGAGTGTGAATTCCATAGCTGGGCCTCATGGGCTTTTGGCATGACACAGCAAGAAGCTGATGGGATCTGGGCTGTAACCAAACAGGAAAGAGGGCTTGCGTGACAATGGCTTGAATATTTTTTAACAACTCAATGCAGTAGCAGTGGATGGGGGGTGGGAAGGCAAATTCCATTGCTAGGGACTGAAAATAATTTAACAGTATCCCATTTTATTTATATTCCTGGTGCATTCAAATTTGGAATAGTTTCTGTCTTCCCCTATTAAAAGCAAGGGGGGAGAGTTCTATTTTGTTGGATCTCCTGTGGGTTTTTTTTAAAGCAGAAGAGACCTCTGGGTATAGGGCAGTACAGTGGTACCTCGGGTTACATAAGCTTCAGGTTACAGACTCCGTTAACCAAGAAATAGTACCTCGGGTTAAGAACTTTACCTCAGGATGAGAACAGAAATCGTGCTCCGGCGGCACGGCACAGCAGGAGGCCCCATTAGCTAAAGTGGTGCTTCAGGTTAAGAACAGTTTCGGGTTAAGAATGGACCTCTGGAACGAATTAAGTTCTTAACCTGAGGTACCATTGTGTATAAATTTAATAATAAAAGCCCAAGATCTACCAACCAGAAGCTGGTGCAAGAGACTTAGAATTCACTTAGGATTAAAGAACAGGATGTTACTAAGGACATTCTGAGCTCAAGACTTGGTTTTCGGTACCAAGAACTCAACCAAACTCGTAGCCCTGTCACAAAAACATGCACTCCAGAGTAGCTTCATTTCAGCGGCTGAAATTGGGTGGAAATAAGTTGTTGCTACTATAAAATAATTGGGGGACAAGGAGCCTTTGCTGATCTAATACGAGACACCCAGATCGGTCCATCCCTGTGTTTTCCCACAGCAGTTGGGAAAAGGTAATGAAAACAAGAGACTGGAACACCTCAAAGCCATAAAGCTACAACTTTGGGGCCTTTTCAGGGAAAAAGGAAAACAGGCTTATATAATAATGCAACATGCAGAGGGAGCAAATAGACAGCTTGGTTGGTAGATCATGTATCCCTTAGGGTTGTGGGTTCGAGACCCAAGTTGGGGAAACGATCCCTGCATTGCAGTGGTTGGACTAAATAACCCTTGTCATCCCTTCCAACTCTACAATTCTATTATTAATATTTGTATACAGCCTTTGATCCATATATCTCAGGCCGTTTCGCAACATAAAATTACAAGATAAAACATAATAAAAATAAGAACATAAACAAACCAATAATCCCCCCTCCCACAACACATTTAAAAGGGCATAGGAGGTCAGTCTGCCAGTGGCTGAAGAGGAATGTTTTTGCCTGGTACCTAAAGATGTATAATGAAGGTGCCACCTGAACCTCCCTGGGGAGAGCATTCCACAAACAAGGTGCCACCGCAGAAAAGGCCCGTTCTCGTGTTGCCATGCGCCAAACCTCTCCTGGAGAAGGTACATGAAGAAGAGCCTCAGATGATGATGTCAGGATCTGGGTAGGTTCATATGGAGAGAGGTATCCTTGAGGGCTTCCCAGAAACGATCTGGTGGACCACTTTGAGAACAGGACGTTGGATGACGAGGGCCTTTGGCCTGACCTGGCTGCAGGACTTCTGTTTTCTTCCATAAAGCACTCCCCACCACCACATCACACAAGTCAGCGGAATGAGTTGCGCAAATCACCTCTTATCAACCTTCCCAACGTTTCTCCACACGCACACCTCTCGCGCCACCAGAAAACGGCAAGGAGACTCGGCACTCGCAAGCGGATATGAATCACAGGTTAATTTAATTACAGCATCGGTTAATTTACATCACATCTTCCCTCTTGTCACCCACATGGGAAGAAAGGGAAGTGGGTGGGTGAGTCCATCCCCCCCCCAAAGATTTCTGGGCAATTAAATACTGTTAGTCCAGCCAAGGCTATTCCCACCCCCAATCCCAACCCAAGCAGTAACAAATCCCGCCAGCACTGACTGTACCATACGCCCTCGGAAGATTGAGGGGAGGGCACCAGGGGGAGAGAGAAATACAGCCGGTTGACTAGTCCTTCGTCACCAGCCTAGAAAATAAAACAGTCTGTAAAAGCACATGGCTTCTTACATCTCTGGAAGTCAATTTTTTTAAAGGGGTGGGACGGGACATAATTATTGTTGTTATATATAAAACTAACCACAAGGAGCTTGTTTGTGACCAATTAAATTAACACACCTGAGGCCCATTTCCCTACCAGTGGTTGGCCACAGGAATGCGGGGGGGGGGGAAGAGATAGAAGCCCAGATGTTTTTCCTGTGGCGCCCTCCATTGCCATAGACCACCTCCTGCTTTCATCACCCGCTGCCCTACTTTTCTTGCCTCTGCTCCCCCTACCGCAACACCTGCTGAGGCAGGTGGGTGCGGTGGGCTTTTTGCCCCTATAAAGAAAAGAGGGAAGGAGACCACAGCTCTCTTCCCCTCCTAAAAACGCCCCCTTTCCCCCACTTCGTAGCATTTCATGCCATTGTAAGATTACAGGTAGGAACGAATCTCGATTTTGTTGTCGTTGTTTGAGGCCTAGTTGCCAAGAGATGCATTTAAGCCGTTAAAAGAGGGTGGTCTGGCTGCAAATGTGGGATTTTGTCCCACTAATGCTATTGAGTAAGCGATAGCCCCCACCCCAAACCCCTCTGGCCTGTGAGGAGGGAGAACGCAGGTGAGCAAAATATCATGGGGAGGGGGGAAGCAGAGGACTGACAGGCCGGATTTGGCTCCCGGGCCCCACAGCTCCTGACGGCTACCTTCTTCTACATCTTCTCAATTATTTTTTTTAACACAACCCACCTGCAATTCAGGCAAACTTTGGAAAGCTTCAGTCAAGGGCGATTAAGAGGAAACAATTAAAACACCTTGATAATTACGACTTTCCCTACCTCCCCCCCCCCAGATACACACAGATACACTTTGAACACAAATATACACCTCTTTTGCATCATCAGCTCCCCAAGTCACCCTATTATACTTTTAATTCTGCGTAGGGGGATCAAGGAGGGAGGTTGAGGAGGGGGAAACGCCAGGCCCCGGCTCTGCCACCTTGCCCTCCACCCTGCAGGTCAGCCCCCTCCTGCCTCGCCTGGGCGCAGGCAGGAAATGATTCCACCCTCCTCCCCGCAGCTGCCCCTTCCCCTCCCCATAGTTTGAAAGTCCTTCTATCCTGTTCTGATAGACTTCTTTTTTTTAGTACAGGGCAAGTCCAGCGGAGTCCAGCCGGTCAGACACTAAGCAGCCAAAAGAAAAAGAAGATGGCAATGAAGAGGAAGAGCGAATCCTGCCAGCTGGATGGGCGGGCAGCTTCTGCGTCTAAGCAAAAAAGAGAGATGGAGGAGCTCAAGGTTAGAAGGAGGCACCATATACCGTTACAGGTAGATGCAAAAGTCAAGGTAGCCGATACATTTTCATAGAAATCCATTTCCGGGCAGTAAGTGTAGTGGCAAATTCAAAAGTGCACGGTCCCTCCATGATAGTCACAGTCATCACACCCCTTCTAATAAGATGATACATTGGGACGTATTTGAAGAATTCAGCTTTCAAATTCCAAATATGAGGGGTGCTAAAAAAGTTGCAACATGACTTGGGAGTTCAAAAGATATTTTGGTTAAATTAATATAATTTCTAATGGATGATTGAATATTGCATTATTTGATAAAAGCTGTTTATTTTAAAGTTATTGTGACTTTTTTATATCGGATCAGATTGTTATTATTGAAGTTTGATGTTTTATTATGTGTTTATATGTGTTGGCAGCCGCCGAGAGTGGTTGGGGCAACCCAGCCTTATGGGAGGGGTACATATAAAATTATTATTAGCAATAGCAGTAGTAGTAGTAGTAATAGTAATAATAATTTAGTTTTGCTTGGTAAACAAAATGTGTGTAAGACTGCATAGAAATAATTAAAAATGATTGCCAAGTACTTACAGTAATATACTAGTACTATTTTTATTATCATTATTACTACTGTTATTCATATTATTTCCCCAACAATTTTTACTGTTTTGCATTTAAATACAAGAACATATAACTACTGTAACATGTCTAGTGGTACATTTTTAATGTTTCATATGCAGTGCATAGTACACAAACAATATATTTATTTATGTATTATCACCTCAAGTATCCACAGAGATTATTGAGTTGGGGGTGGAATAGAAGTATCTTCCGTTTCATATATTATTGTTATTATTATTAATTATTATTATCATTGTTTGGCATTACCTGACATTTTCAGAAGTTAAAATTTAAATTATTTGGTTTGCCGAAAGCAGCTTATGGGCTTCTTCATCGAACATAGACTTACCAATCTCAGTGTTGTCTGATAACAAAAATAATAGTGGATTTGAATTCTTCATACCCAAAAACATTTTTTTTATGGCCACTCACTGAAGAAATTTGCAAAAATTAAGAATGATCCACCAAAATGACAAGTCCTAATACAATAAACTTATAATTATACAATAATAATACCATATTGGCCCAAATATAAGTCACACCCGAATATAAGCTGCACCTTTAAAATTCAAGAGGAAAAACGACAATACCCGAATATAAGCCTCTCCCTTAAAATTCTGCAGGCACTCACACCCATTCCGTTTTACCTTATGTCTGTTCCAGCAGTGATATTGTAAAAGCCAATTTTTGCAGGGTCACAAATTTAAGTTGCACTTTAAGTCGGAATTGGGGGGGGGGGGAGTGAGGCTTATATTCAGGCCAATACGGTAATTATGGATGTATCACGATAATCAGGGCAGATCTCCATGTATTGCTAGAACTACGAAGGCTACAGCGCTCAGGATTTGCAAAAGATCCTGCCTGGAGCTATGCAAGCCCCCAACAAGCAGCTGATTGTAGAGTGGGTGGGCGTGGCTTAGACCAAACAGTCTTGAGGGCCAAACACGGCCTGCAGATCAGAAGTTCCCTACCCTCAGACTTGAGGCAGGAAGAGAAGGTAGGAAGAGACCTGATACTGGTTAAGGCTAGACAATCTAGACTAGTACTGTCTGCTCTGACTGGCAGTGCTCCTCCAGGATCTCTGGCAGAGAGAGAGAGAAAAAGAAAGATCCTTTCCCAGAACATGCCACTTTTAACTGGAGATACCTCTATGGTATGGAACCTTGGACCTTGTGAAAGCAAGGCAAGTGCTCTGACACCGAGCTAAAATCCCTCTCCAAATACAGAGAAGGAAAGAGATGCTACTACTCAGAAGGAAGTAACGCAGCACTGGAGAGAGAGGAACATGAAAGGGACGCGTGTGAGAGCCTGATGGTGGAACAACCCCTTCTCTAAGCCAGTAAAGCGGAACGGTAAGGATTTCAAGCACAGGTTAAGACTCAAGCACAGGTTAAGACTCAAGCACCTGCTTGTGTAAGCATGACCCAGCGCAGGGCTGCTGCCAAGTTCTATTAGTGGCAGCTTTGCAGGGAAAGACATGGTGGCTTGCCCAAGCCCAGCCGCAAAAAAATGGTAATTTTGATCTTAGCACAGACACTGCAAATCATAGTGAGGACACAGCTTTTACCTGGGTAAAACCCTCAAAGGGTAGCGTGGGAAAACACAAGAGATCAATCCCAGGGATGTACAGGGTGTTAGGGGAGGGGTAGTACCTGTGGGCTCTTGGGCTCCATGATCACTGCAGATGCAGCAGTCACGAAATTAAAAGACGCCTGCTCCTTGGGAGAAAGGCGATGGCAAACCTAGACAGCATCTTAAAAAGCAGAGACATCACCTTACCAACAAAGGTCCGTATAGTTAAAGCCATGGTTTTCCCAGTAGTAATGTATGGAAGTGAGAGCTGGACCATAAAGAAGGCTGATCGCTGAAGAATTGATGCTTTTGAATTATGGTGCTGGAGGAGACTCTTGAGAGTCCCATGGACTGCAAGAAGATCAAACCTATCCATTCTGAAGGAGATCAGCCCTGAGTGCTCACTGGAAGGACACATACTGAAGCTGAGGTTTCAATACTTTGGCCACCTCATGAGAAGAGAAGACTCCCTGGAAAAGACCCTGATGTTGGGAAAGATGGAGGGCACAAGGAGAAGGGGACGACAGAGGACGAGATGGTTGGACAGTGTCCTCGAAGCTACCAGCATGAGTTTGACCAAACTGCAGGAGACCGTGGGACACAGGAGTGCCTGGCGTGCTCTGGTCCATGGGGTCAAGAAGAGTCGGACATGACTAAACGACTAAACAACAACAACAACAGTACCTGTGGTAGAGGAAGCATCATGCTCCTTCTGGGGTAATTTGTCCACCTTTGGTCCCCATCCTGCACTCAACTCTCTCACCTGCAGCTCCTAAAAGCTGTTGGCGTGCGACAGTGGTCACACCCCAGGAATGGCTTCAACCGGTCAGCTAAACCAGGTGAGGGCAGCTGATGGATTTCAAACCCTCAGTGGGTTAGGGACTTCCCCTTCATGTGAAGACAGGCTCTGGCAAACTCGGTGGATGAGACCAATAGTGGGTCCAACCGCCGAGAAGGCAGTTTCTGCACATGCCATACACGGAAGGGAGGGACAGGTGAAGCTCACCCACCTGGGAAGGTAGGAGAAGGAAAAGTCTGATCCTAAGCCTAAGCTATCCTTGCGGGATAGCTTCAGAAGTAGAAAAGGCTAAGGGAGTAAACCCTACACAGATCCCTAAGACAGTTGGATGGTGCTTTGCATGCCTTCTTCTGGCAACTGCTGCAGCCAAGCTGGTGTCAAAACACTTGCTCTGCATTCCTTTGGACCACATCAGCGAAGATGAGAGGTGGGTCTTGTCCTCTGGGCAGCCCAGGCCTGCGCCTCAGAGAGGTCACTTTGATGCTGCTAATACAGCAGTTGGACTTCACCCCTGGAGGTGCCCTCCATTGTCTCTTGAGGCAGACAGAAGCCAACAACTACCAACTACCTGCCTGCAGACTGTCTCGCCAGAGTGGTGCATGCTCTGGTTATCTCCCGCTTGGACTACTGCAATGGGCTCTACGTGGGGCTACCTTTGTAGGTGACCTGGAAACTACAACTAATCCAGAATGCAGCAGCCAGACTGGTGACTAGGAGTGGCTGCCAAGACCATATCACACCTACATTGGCTCCCAGTATGTTTCCGAGCACAATTCAAAGTGTTGGTGCTGACCTTTAGAGCCCTAAATGGCCTTGGTCCAGTATACCTAAAGGAGTGTCTCCACCCCCATTGTTTAGCCCAGACACTGAGGTCCAGTGCCGAGGGCCTTCTTGGTAGTGGCACTTGCCCTGTAGAACGCCCTCGCACCAGATGTCAAGGAAATAAACAACTATCTGACTTTTAGAAGACATCTGAAGGCAGCCCTGTTTAGGAAAGTTTTTAATGTTTTATCATATTTTTAACAATCTGTTGGGAACCGTCCAGTGGCTGGGGAAACCCAGCCAGATGGGCGGGGTATAAATTATTATTATTATTATTATTATTATTATTATTATTATTAATCCAAGAGCTTGGTTGATAGGACGAGTGAGAACGGCTGTGGAATTTGAGTGTGCCCTTATGGGCAGATTTGTGCAACAAGCTTAGACCTGTTTTTAAACGTAGTGCATTACCTGCCCTTTCTCCTGGGGTACTGTAGCCAGTGGCAAAAAACCCAAAGGGGAACGCGCCAATGCCAAATGCCATGTGGAAGCCAGTGGCCGCGTCGGGAAAGGCGCCCATGCCCTGTCGGAGGGAGGGGGAGCAGGGGGCAAAAAACAGAAAGGGGGGAAATGTAGGTTAGTAGTCTGCTGCAAACTGCAAAGCATTTCAGCCGGGATCAGTCTATAGAGGGCTAGAAGCAAGCAGCACTCACCCCTCGGGACTCTGGCTCTGGGCGCTGCCCTCGTGGCCGAGGAGGGGTCTTCAACCTGTGATAGGAAGGGGAGAATATGCATAAGCAGCACTGGCAGGTAGGCAGGCACTCCTCCCGTTCATCAGTATTTCATAGCTGTCAACGCTTCCCCCTTTTTAAGGGAAATTCCCTTATTCCGAATAGGATTCCTCGCAAGAAAAGGGAAAAGTTGACAGCTATGCAGTATTTTCAGCATCACCCCCTGTCTTCCCCATAACAGGGCGCAGAAGGAATTTTAAAAACACATTAGGATAAGGATGTAGTATTTACAAAACACTGGGGGAGGTGGTGGCCGTGCTTGGAAGATTTGCAGAGGACGGAGCAGGTCTTTGCCCTGAGCCTGCAGTTCAATGCAGCCGAGAGGCAACATGTTTACATTGAAGGAGAGCATCCTCAGCTTTAGCAGCGTTTTGCTGGATGTGGCCAAAGGCCCACCTAGTCATTCATTCTGTTCTCACAGCAGCCAACTGGATGCGCATGGGAAGCAATGGCACATTCCCTGCTTGCGATTCTCAACAACTGATTTTCAGAGGCATGACTACTAGCCATCGATAGCCCTCTGCTCCATAAAAACTGTCGTAACCCCTTTTAAAGCAATTCAAGTTCGTGGCCATCTTGTGGATTCAAATGGCAGGAAAGGAGATTCCGACTAAATGCCAGGAAGAACTTTCTGATGGAAAGAAATGTTTGACAGAGGAACAGACGCCCTCAGAAGGTGGTGGAATCTCTTTCCTTAAGCAGAGGCCGGGATGCTTTAGTTGAGATTGCAGGGAATTGGACTCGATGACCCTACTGGTCCCTTCCAACTCTATGATTGTATTGATCACGCATTCCTGGGCTAGGCAGTTGCCCAGAGATACTGGGCTTGGGACCTGGAAAGTTACAAATCTTTCCTTTTATCAGAATAAGAGACGCTTCAGAGCCAGTAAAGGACTCACAGTGAGAGATATTGCAGAAGAGAGGAAGGGAGACCAACCAGCCTACAGGAAAAGGAAATGCCACTCTAGCCCAGAATTCCTCTATCACTGAGGATTGCCAAACTAGCAGGGAGCCTAGCATAGGGAAACAATTACCTGGGATCCTCCTGGGCGGAGCTTCCACGTCCATAGAGAGGGATGACTTTGTCCCGGCTGATTCCTGCCTTGCACACAGGACACTCCTGGCGCTCTGGCCGAGTTTCTAGCCACTATGGAGGGGGGAAAGATGGCAGTGAATGTGGAAGAGTTTCTCCCACCTGTCCCCAAAGATATGCAGATCATATGTAACCAGGGCAGGGAAATCTCAGGCACCCAGGGCAGGTGAGCAGGCAGGCAGGTGGGCACAAATGCAGAACTCTCTCCAGGCCATCCCCCTCACCCTGACCCTGCTTCAAACCCAAATGTTTTGCCTGGCCGGAATGAGCCCTTGAACTCTGATCATGCCTCTTGCTTGTCTGAATGGAAAACAGAGAAGGTTGCACAACTGAACTGTTGTTGTTGTTTGCATCCATCTGTCTCAAGAGACAATAGAGATTGCATCTGGGGGTGAAGTCAAACCATTGCGGTAGCAGCACCAAAATGACCTCCCTAGGGCGTAGGTTTGGGCAGTGTGTCTGGAGGTCCTGACACCAGCTTGGCTGCAGGAGTTGCCAGAAGGAGGCACACAAGGTGCCATTCAATCGTCTTAGGAACTCCACTCCAGATTTGTGTCAGGTTTACTCCTTAGCTTTTCTTTTCACAAAGATATCTGGCAAGGCATCAGAGGTTTAGGATGAGAGTTTTACTTCTCCTAAATGGGCTACCTTCCCAGGTTGATGAGCCCCATCTGCCCTTCACTTCCTTTACAGCCTTCTTGACTGTTGGAACCACCACTGGTCTCATCCGCTCAATCCGCTGAAGCCTGTCTTCAATGCAGAGGAAGCCCCTAACTCACCGAGGGTTTGAGACCCATCGGCTGCCCTCACCTGGTTTAGCCTGCCAGACAAAGCTGCTCCTGGGCTGTGGCTGCTGTCACACGCTGACAGCTTCTAGGAACCACAGGTGAGAGCTGAGTGCAGGTAAAATTCACATTTGCGACTCTGCCCACTTTTGCCTCCGGCTTTGCCCAAGGTCCCCTGATCTGGTAGTGGCCCATCTTAGCCCGGCCTCCTTTTCTCACAATGGCCAATGGCCTCAAGCAGGATCTGAACACAACAGAACTCTGAAGTTATTTTTTACTAATTAAGCACAGACAGACTTCTTATTGGTGGTGGAAAGGTTCAATTCAAGGCCAGCTGCTCCGATAGGAAATATTTAACCAGGTGAGACCAATGGTCCATCTTGATCAGGATTCTGTCTCAACAGAAGTCTGCCAGATTAGAAACAAAAGGAAGGCTCACAAACAAGGCAGAACACAGATAAACATGTTCTCGTCTCCTGTGGTTTGCCTTCAGCAGTTAAAATTATATACGGCTTCTGCACATGGAGGTTGCATTTTCCTCAAGCTGTCATGTCAAATAGCCACTGACGGAGCTCTCAAGCATCCTCAATAGGCACAAATATTATTAAAGCCCCCTATAAAAGCCTGCCTCCCATAAAAACATAAGAAGAGACCTGTTGGATCTGACCAGGCATGGCCAAACTTGGCCCTCCAGGTGTTTTGGGACTACAACTCCCATCATCCCTAGCTAACAGGACCAGTGGTGAGGGATGATGGGAATTGTAGTCCCAAAACATCTGGAGGGCCAAGTTTGGCCATGCCTGGATCTGACCAATGGCCTATCTATTTGAGCATGCTGTTCTCCCAGTAGCCTATGGGGACTCCGCAAACTGGCCCTGTTGCACTCAGGCTCTGCTTGCAAGCTTCCCGTAGGCATCTAGATGGGCCACCTGCCAAGCCGACACCATAGCAGGTAGGCTCACACACCAGGGCAGGTTCCCTCAACGTCTTTTGACACCTTCACCTTTCCTCGCCCTAGAGGTCAGCAGCCGAGGAAAGGGAGACACTCACCTGGTGAAGACACGGCCAGCTAGGGGGAAAAAGAAGAAAAAGCGAGTGACCCTTTTAAAACCTGGAATAATAATGCAATTTCGGTTTGTTTGTTTTAAAAAAGCAAGAATTATATGCCCAACTAAGGCCACACAGAGAAAAGCTCTAGGTTCTGAAATTCCCACCCTTCCGAAAGCTAATCCTGCAACTGGCCACACATCACGCACAGGGAGCTTCACAGAGCCTGGTTCTGATCCGCACACCCTAAGCGTGTGATGCCACATGGGCTGTCCTTCGAGGTCGCCACCCACCCTCTTTGGTTTTTAGACAGTGGTGAAGTGGCAGTCGAAATCAAGCGAAATCTGGTGCAGCCCCTGCAGCTTTAAGGCCACCCCGACAGGCAGAAATCCAGCAGGTGAAGCTTCTTTCCCAGGCTTCTTTGCAGTGGAGCAAACCTTCCACCTGCCAGACCCAGTAAGAACAAGAGCAGCTCTCCCTGCCGGGCACCTTGTTCTGTGCCCCCCGCCCTTTTAAGGCTGCCCCCCAACTCTTCAGGGCCACGCCCCTTTCTGCTCCCCACTCCTCCTCACCAGTACAGGTGGCCGCAGAGCCCAATGACAGCTTCTCTGGCAGGCTCCAGGCAGATATTGCATTCGAAAGCGCTGCGGTCGCGGTTTGAACCCTCGGGTTCCCCGTCCGGGACCCCCGGACCCATCCCGGCCGCCGCCGCCATCTTCCGCCCTCACTTAAACTGAAGGAGGGGAGCCGGACACGCCCGCTCTTCAGCAATTGGCCCCGGTGCCCGTCTTTCTCGCCTTGCCGATATTTCATTGGAGGCAGAGGCAGTCCGTTGTGGAACCTGGCGAAGATGATTGCGCACGTCCGAGTTAGTCCCGCCTTCACAGCTCTAGGGGGGCGCTCGAAACTTTTTTGACTGGCTGCATCGCTCGGGTGTCAAAATATGAGGTTACGTTATTGGTTAAGGGAGGCCTCATTCTCCCGCCTCCCGCCGTCGAGCAAAATAAGATGTCATGTGACTTTAAAGCGAGAGGTGGGGGTGGGGCGTAGCCTGATTGACTGGAAAGGCAACCTGTCAAGAGCAAGACAGCAGGGATTGGGGGCGGATGCACCAAGGGCACGTCTGGAATGCAGTTGAAAACACGAAAGGCAAGCACACGCCCAAGCATATTGTGATTGGCCAGAATCCCAGTTCGGGGCGGGAACTAATCACGATTGCATTATAGGATGGCCAATGAACAATCAGAGTCTTTGGCCAAAGGGCGGAGTCTGCTCTCGTGCTGAGCTGTACCAAGCTTGCCCATTTTTGAGCCGAAGGTTCATGGGAGGTGAAACATCACTTCCTGCCTGGGGCCTTAAGTTTACTGCTTCTTCCTTAGATCTAGCATGTTGTCATGGCAGCTATCAAGATATAAGGGTGTCTGTAGTCAGCCCAGAGCCTTCACCATGACAGTCAGTTATTACCTGGATAAGTCAACTAATCCTCAACCAGGTTTAACTGTAGAAAGTGAGGTGTTGCCATAGCAACCAGACACCTGCTTGCCAGTGATGCTGTTGGCATGGCAACCTGCTATCCATCAGTGCCACTGTGGTCCATGTTGGTAATTCTACCTGCCCCATTTAAACCACAGTTTTGGTTTTTGGTATCAACCAAACCATTCCAAGGATTCTGTTGTTACCACAATAAGCCGTACACTAATCACAAACTTCCCTTGCTGCTACCACCATTGTCATGACAACACACACTTCACATTACCCCAGCAACTGATGTTACCCGTCCCTAAGCCAGAGTCACCACAAATCTAGCCTTCTACAAATGCATATCTGCACTCAGCCAAAGCTCCTGGGATTAATGCGACAATTTACAGCCACCCTGCAAACAGACTTACTAGGAAGTAAGTTCTGGCTTTGCCGCCTGTCTTAGGATTGGGTTATTAAGACTGAGAATCATCCCTGCCTGCGCCATGGCAACCCAGAGCCATCACAATTGCTGCCAATGTCACAGCAGCCCCAGATGGTAGAGCATGAGACTCTTAATCTCAGGGTTGTGGGAGCAAAGGAAACTCATTTTACTCTGCTGCTGTTCTTTCTAGGCACATGGGGGGGGCGGTCTCTCATTCTGGGTAGCACAAGCAAGACAGTGCCTCAGGCTTTTTCAACCTGGTTTTTCCCTGCCAGACAATTTTTGACTACAACTCCCATCATTCCTGACCATTGACCATGTTGGCTGGAACTGATGGGAATTGTGGTTTAAAATGTCTGAAGGGCACCGGATTGGGAATGCCAGCACTCATTTTTAAAGCAGATTGTGGCTGCGATGCAATATATCAGGGTTTGCCAATTTGGTGCCTTCCTGGTGTTGTTGGACTCTAACCCCCATCAGCCTCTGTCAGCACGAACAACAGCCAGGAAAGGTGGGAGCTGGAGTTCAGCAACTTATTGAGAGCACTTGCTATGCAGTTCTACATTCTTACCTGGCAGTTCAGCTGGGCTTATTTCGGAATAGACGTGTAAAAGATTGCACTGTACGGAAAAGTAATACAGTGGGGTTTTGTTTCCCCTCTTCCACAGTGGCTCCAGCAAATTTAGGGTAGATGCAAGATGTGTTATGATACGTACATCAGAAGTGGTATACACACCTTACAATTCTAGACATTGAACTAGGCTAGAATGTTAGTTTCTTCCTTCTGTCTATATCGGTGAAAGTGAAACCTGCGATGCTGGCTGGCTTGGTGGCCGGGAATGGTTCTGATTTCTCAGGGAACTAAACAATTTGCCATCCAACTTCCGGAAGGGAATGGACAATTGTCAGTTGGGCTAGGAGCTTCACACAGAGTCCGGCAGAGGTCTGTTCTGCCTCCAGCATTGGAGGTAGTACACCTTTGAACATCAGCTGCTGGAAATCACAGGTGGGGAGAGGGCTGTTGTGTTCATGTCCATCTTTCGGGCTTCCCAGGGGCATATATTTTTGCCACTGCGAGAACAGGATGCTGGGGTAGATGGGACTTTGGTTTGATCCAGCAGGGATCCTCTTGCGTTATTATTGGGGGGAAAGCCCAGTCAAACAGTCCCGAGATGCAGGAAACTCAGGGACAAGGTGGTGAAAAGAAGGATGCAGAGAAGGGAATGGGGTGAGAAAGAGGAACCTTGAGGAAGGGTGGGCAGCTGTCAGGAAAGTTTAATGCAGGAAGGGAATTGAAGCTAGGAAGTTATCTGAGATAGGTCTCCGAAGAAATTTTACAGAGCATGAGATCAGGAAAAAGGAGGAACGCAAGGGACATAACTGAAGGGAGGGTATAATTGTGTCTACAGCAGACACCCCCAGCCTGGGACCCTCCAGGTGCCATTGAACCTCAACTCTCCTCAGCTCCAGCCAACATAGCCAATGGGCAGGGATCGTGGGATTTGTAGACCAAAACATCTGGAGGGCACCAGAGATGGGAGACCTGTGCCCCCCCAGGTGTTGCTGAACTACAGCTCCCATAATCCCTGGCTACTAGCCTTGCTGGCTGGGGCTGAGAGTTGGAGCCCAAACACATCTGGAGAGCCACATGTCCCCCCATCCTTGGTCTGTTGAGGGCCAGATTAAACATGGCATGGGAGATCCATAGCTTGAATCTCCTGACTTCACTGGGGAAGGGGTTTTAATTATTTCCCCTGTTATTTTGCCCAATCACAATCACCCTCTGAAGCTGATATTTGGCCTTCTTTGGGACGGGTGACTGTGGATAAAAACAGTACAGCTACAATATAGATACCTGTCTTTACCCACACCCCAACCTGGGCTAGCAGCAGCTGGGTGGGGGATGGAATTTGTTTGGAAAAACAGCACTAGGGGAAAGGGCCACGCCCTTATTCTCCAGACACTTAATATCCCCATCCAAATTGTCCCCTCTCTGAGGCTGGCTGCTTATGCATGTTTTAACATAAGGTGATCCAATGGTCTCCTGTGTGACATGTAGTTTCTCCCCCACTCACCCTGAAATTCTGCCAGTCATGGCATCTTTTACGGCAATGTTGGGCGCTAGAAACATCAAGGGGCCAATGAAGGTCATAAAACAGGATGTGTGTGTAGCTGAATTTCACACATTGATTTGAGGGAACCAGCCAACTCCTTGGCTGCATACTTTTTATTGATTGGAATAGATTTTGACATACCTAACACTGCATAGGAACCAGGTTGTGGATGCGACTGCCAGAATCCACCAATGTTTGCTTGGAAAGTGTGAGTAAATATGGAAGTCTTTCACTATTTGGGGAGTGCATGGCTTTCCACATCTGCAGTAGAGGAAGGGGAAATGGAGGCGGAGAAACTGAGGAAGAATATGCCATGATTGCACTTACATGGATTTAAATAAGGTATAATGATGTGTGTGTTAACATTCAAAAAATCCATCTGGGATTGTTAGCATATAAATGTGAAATGTCAACATTTATCATATGTTGGATAGTCATAAAAATATAGAATAATTCAGGCTCCAGTTGCAGGCATACTTACTTGGGAGTGTGTTCCACGGAACCTTTGAGTAAGCGTGCAATGGAGTTGCACTGCCAGCCTGTCTGCACATGTCACTTGGAAGATTCTCTCTGCAACCTTTCAATGCAGCTTTCGTTACAAACCTAAGCACACTTTTGCTACCGCAGCGTTAGCCAACCTGGTGCCCTCCAGATGTTGTTGGACTGCAGCTCCCATCATCTCCAGCCGTTGCTGCTGGGGCCAAGGTAAGCCCAGCTTGGGATGCATACATTTAAATCACATTTTCCACACACACCCTCCCCAAGAATCCTGGAAATCGTAGTTTGTTAAGGGTGCTGGGAATTGCAGTTGTGAGGGGTACACTACAATTCCCAGGATTCTTTGGGGAGCAGGGGACATGCTATAAGAACATAAGAAATCTGCTGGTTTAGGCCAGGGGTCTGCAACCTTTAAGACAAAAAGAGCCACTTGGACCCGTTTCCGAAGGGAAAAAAAAACTGGGAGCCGCAAAGCCATTGCGACATTTAAAACAAATATATCTCCGGAGCCGCGATCTGACAGCGGGCAGGAAGGTGACGTCAGGACGGTGCGTGACTAACGCACGCACCGCCCCCATGCGACGTCACAGCCAGTACAGTGCCCGCCACAGTGGGGCGTGTCGGGGCGCACAATGCGCCTCCTCCCTCGCTAGTATCCGCCCCGGAGCCGCGGCAAAGGTGTAAAAGAGCCACATGCGGCTCCGGAGCCGCGGGTTGCAGACCCCTGGTTTAGGCCAAAGGCCTATTTAGTCCAGCATCCATTTCTCAGTGTGACCAACCAGAGACCTACAGGAAGCACACCAGCCGGCCAGGTGCGTTTAAATGCAAGATGCATAGGCAGTTCAGAGGGCTCAGGCAGGTGAAGGCTGTACTACAGAGTAAGCCCTGTTGAAGAAGAAGCCTGGGGTTGCTTGTGAGTACACAGGTATAGGATCACGCTGCTTGGGAGCAATCCTACAAATACAGGGCACATGCACAGGACTGCATTGCTAGTCCACCACCCGTGAGGCTTGTTGTCGTTTAGTTGTTTAGTCGTGTCTGACTCTTCGTGACCCATGGACCAGAGCACGCCAGGCACCTCTGTCCTCCACTACCTCCCGCAGTTTGGTCAAACTCATGCTGGTAACCTCGAAAACACTATCCAACCATCTCGTCCTCTGTCGCCCCCTTCTCCTTGTGCCCTCCATCTTTCCCAGCATCAGTGTCTTCTCCAGGGAGTCTTCTCTTCTCATGAGGTGGCCAAAGTACTGGAGCCTCAGCTTCAGGATCTGTCCTTCCAGTGAGCACTCAGGGCTGATTTCCTTAAGAATGGATGTGTTTGATCTTCTTGCAGTCCATGGGACTCTCAAGAGTCTCCTCCAGACCATAATTCAAAAGCATCAATTCTTCGGCGATCAGCCTTCTTTATGGTCCAGCTCTCACTTCCATACATCACTACTGGGAAAACCATGGCTTTAACTATACGGACCTTTGTTGGCAAGGTGACGTCTCTACTTCTCAAGATGCTGTCTACCCGTGAGGCTTACTCCAGAGTAAACATGCATGGGACCTATGCCCATAAAAGACACCTGAGAGTAAGCACTTGTGAACTCAAAGGGTTACCTTTTATTTTGCATGGTTTTTTAAAATAAACATAATACTTTATTGAAGCTTTTTCACAACACTTTTCATGTGACACTAAGGTTGCTTCAATGAGTAAAGATACAGATTCCACACACACACACACACCACATATACAGTGGTACCTCGGGTTAAGTAATTAATTTGTTCCGGAGGTCCGTTCTTAACCTGAAACTGTTCTTAACCTGAAGCACCACTTTAGCTAATGGGGCCTCCTGCTGCCGCCGCGCCGCCAGAGCCCGATTTCTGTTCTCATCCTGAAGCAAAGTTCTTAACCTGAAGCACTATTTCTGGGTTAGCGGAGTCTGTAACCTGAAGCGTATGTAACCTGAATCGTATGTAACCCAAGGTACCACCATATATATATACATACACACACACACACACACACACATATATATATACACACACACACACACACACACAGAGTACATAAATCTGTTTTTAATTTGTAATTGTAGTAATCTGCCCTGGGACCCGCTGTTGGTGAAGGAGGATTATTAAACATTCGTTTATACGTCATGTATGTTGAAACAAATATGTTCGTTTGTACATTCCCAACCCTACGCACCCCCCCCCAAAGGCATAGGGCCCTGTTAGGCATCACATCCAAAACCAACTTTCCTCCTTCCGAGTAGACATAAACCGCTCCGAAAGCTAACGGAGAGGAGACAAACGCTCCCTTATCTCTATTCCTTTTCCCCCGCGGAGAAGGAGGAAGAAGAGAGAGAACGCTGGCGAGGGGAAGGGGGCGATGGTTGGCAGGAATGAATGAAGCGAGCGGATGAATGAATGGGAGCCCCGGGTGGGAGGCCGGCGGGAGGAAGAGGAGGGGTGGCGAGCCGCGAGAATGCGCGAGAAGCACCAGCAGCAGAGGAAGCAAGAGAGAGACCGGGGGGGGGGGGCGCGGAGAGCGAGCACAGTGGTCACGGGGTGGGGAGGGGGAGAGGGAGAGAGAGGGGGGGGACAAGAGAGGAAGGAGCTGCTGCTATTGGCGGCCGGGGCTGCCCATCAGCTGCCCCCACTTCCTGCCTTTCTGGCGCCCCCCCCCCGCCCCACACTGACTCCAGCCCTGAGGAAGTGGCCCGCGCCGGTAGAGCCAACCAGCAGGCAGCCGGGCTCGAGCATCCGATTCCTCCCCCCCACCTTCCTCTTCTTCCAACAAGACCCCCCCCCACTTTTCCTCCTTTTTGCAGCGCATCCCTGAAGCAGCAGCAGCAGCAGCTGCTGTAGCTGCAGCAGCTCCATCTCCTCCTCTCCTCCTCCACCATGGCCTGGCCCTGGGGGCGCGGGGGGTAGCCGGGCAGGGGCCTTCAGGAGCCCCCCCCCGCCTCCCTCCTCCCCCACGGAGGGGGAGGCCCCGCGCAGCCAGGTAAGGGGGTGATGGGCAGCTGGGGAGGGGGGCTGGGGTGCAGCCGCAGAGCGGGGTGGGTGGGTGGGAGAGAGAGAGGGAGTCGTCCCGCTACAAGCCACCCCAGGAGGGGTGTGTTTTGGGGGTGGGGGGTGTGCTATGGGGCTGGGAATGGGTCCTCCTCTGCGACGCCAGGTATAAATCGCGTCGGGTGTCTTGGTCAGTGGGGCGGGGGCGGAGAGAGAGAGTTTTAAGGGGTTGGGGTGGGGAGGGGCCAAGGAAGCTGAATTTGGGGAGGATGTTTCGCAGCGGTGGAGGTAAGCTGGGAACTCAGAAGCCTTTTAACCTCGTTAGGGGGGGAGGATTGTTGTAACCCGCCCTGGGAGCCGCCGTGATGGGCGAGTAGCAATTGGGGGTAATAATGGTAATTGCAAAGTGCCCAGGGTTTTTTTTTTTGGGAGGGTGCTCCAATTGAAGGGCTGCTATGGGGTTATAGGGAGTGCTTGTGGTGGTGAGCAGCTGGGAGGTATAACTTGGGGGGCAGGGCCCTGGCCTGGACAGGAGGAGCCTGTGTCTAGGGTTTTTTTGGGGGGGGGGCAATTGAAGGGCTGCTGTGGGGTGATAGGGAGTGCTTGTGGTGGTGAGCAGCTGGGAGGTATAAATTGGGGGGCAGGGCCCTGGCTGGACAGTAAGAGCCTGTGTCTAGGGGGTTTTTTGGGGGGCAATTGAAGGGCTGCTGTGGGGTGATAGGGAGTGCTTGTGGTGGTGAGCAGCTGGGAGGTATAACTTGGGGGGCAGGGCCTGGGCCTGGAAAGTAAGAGCCTGTGTGTGCGTGTAGGTTTGGGGTGCCTGCAATGGGGTCTACAATATGGGGGGTGGCTTTCTGAGGGAGACTACTTTTTTGGGGAGGTATTTTGTGCTGGGGAGAAATAGAGGTTTGGGATGGGTACCAGGAAGGGGGTTTCCAAGGAGTTGTGATTTTTTATTTTTTATTTTTTTTGGAGAGGGAAGTATAATGAGCTGGTTGCGAGAGGGGCAGCGCAGTGGGGACACTTGCTGAGAGGGAACGGGAAGATATAACTTGATATGTGTCTTGGGAGGAGGGCGAGGGGCCTAGCGGAAGGGTTTCGCGGAATTTGGAAGAGCACATGGCTATGATACGGCGCAAGCGATGGGGTGCTTCTGGAAGCAGGAGGCGTAATATTCTGAATATATAGTCTGGGAAGGGGGCATGGGAAACAGGATGCGATGCAGGCCGGCTGCCCCCAGCCAGATGCTGTTGGCTTTCTCCTCCCAGCCAGCATGACCAATGGTCGGGGTGAGGGGTGTGGTAGTTTTGCAAGGCACCAGGCCAGGGGAACGCTCAAGCAGGGGCAGGACGGATCTGGTCTTCCAAACATTGCTGGGCCACAGCTCCCCTCAGCCCTGACCATTGGTCATGCTGGCCAGGGCTGGTGGGAGTGGGAGTGTGGCTGCCATCTCCCAAACCATCTCCCAAACCCAAACTCCCCTCAGCCCTGACCATTGGTCATGCTGGCCAGGGCTGGTGGGAGTGTGGCTGCCATCTCCCAAACCCCCTCCCCTTATACAAGCTTTTTGTGAACAGGTTGTGGGTGAAAAGAGCTTGAGGCCAGGCAGAGCTGAGCATTGCAGGCTTGCTCTGGGCTCATCCTTACCAGAGAGGAAAGGCCTCATTAGGCTGCATCCACATCGTCCATTTAAAGTCCTCCTCCCCGCAAAAAAGCAATAATGGGGGCTGTAGTTTAAGGGTCCTGAGAACCATCGTTCGGTGAGGGGTGAATTGCAGTTCCCAGAATTCTTTGGGGCAAGCCATGTTCTTTAAATGCATAGTGTTTATGCAACCTAATTTTTTTTTTTGCTTTAGCAGCTTCTGTCTTGTTTTCCCTCCCCTGTTCTGATGATGGTGCCATTCTGGGGATTAAGAGCAGCAGCCTTCAAAAGGTTTTTATCACTGTTCTGATTGGGCCACGGTGACACACGCCTTAGTTACTTCCTGTTTGGATTACAGCAACTTGCTCTATGTAGTGCTGCCTTTGAAAAGTGCTCAGAAACTCCCAGCTGCCTCAAAAAGCGGCAGCCAGATTGTCGTTTAGGGCTGGTTACATGGAGCAGACGACAACAGCTCCAATAGCTACCACTGATAATGATAATGATAATAATATTTCCGGGTTCAAAGCAGAGTGCTGGCTATGACCTAGAAAGCCCAGCACCGTTTGGGTCCAAGCTTTTTGAAAGACTGTGTTTCCTCATATGACTTAGCCCAGGTTCCGACATCTTCGGGGGGTGTCCTTCTCTGGGTCCCACCACCCTCACAGCCCTGCTGAAGGAGAGGGCCTTCTTGGTGGTGTCCCCCAGACTTTGGAACTCCTTTCCTAGAGAAGCCAGACTGGCTCCCTCCTTGTTGGTCTTCCACTGGCAGGTGAAAACCTTATTCCAACAGGCTTTTGGGAACTGACTGATTTTAAGGAAAGGGCTGGTGCCATGCCGCTTTTATTGTAATTATCTCTGTTTTTAGTAGGTCCTTTAAGCTACAGAGAGTTTTAATTCTATTAAAGTTTAATTTGGTTTTTTTTTATAATTGTCCCTCCCCCCTTAAAAAAACATTTTTAGCTGTTTTTGTTTTATCTGTAAGCCGCCTTGAGTCCCTGTTGGGGGAAAAGGTGGGGTATAAATAAATATATAATGATGATGATGATGATAATCTTTATCACATTCCTGTAGCAGCCCAGAGTGAGAGGCCTTTATTAATCCCATTTGAGCCAGTGGTGAAACAGGGGCTGAATTGCCATGGCTGGACTAAGGACTTGAATCCAGGGCTTCCTGGATCTGGACCTCCCACAAGGAGTATTTGAAAACTGAAAACTGAATTGGTGAGGCCTTCTGGGGTTTCCATGTTTGACCAGGAAGGCTTGGAAGTGGGATTCTGGAATTAAAGGTCTATGTCCACAACCTTGTGCCATCTCCGTTATGGTACTTTCTGCATATTTCGGGGGGTGCAAGGAAGAGTCCTGGCTGATCAGTTTAGATTGGCTGCACTGCACAGGTGGGGAGAAAGTGGTCACAGTACTCAGCTGTCTACATACTGCTGTTTTGACTCTTCAGAGTGCTTCTTGTACCATTATTTCAGTAACCCTTGCAATAATTCCCCGGGAATTTAGGTGGTGGGACTCAACTTCCACCAGCCCCAGCCAGTATGGCCAATGTTCAGGATTTTGGGGTGGGTACCCGCTAAGTTCTACTTAATGCACATTCACAGCATGGAATTAAAGCATTTACAATACCACTTTACCCAAAGAATTCTGGGAGATGCAGTTTGTAGAGGGTGCCGAGAATTGTTAGGAGACCCCTGTTCCAGAGCCACGGTTGCCAGAGAGGTTAATAATAATAATAATAATAGTAATATAATCTATTATTTATACCCCGCCCATTTGGCTGGGCTTCCCCAGCTACTCTGGGTGGCTTCCAACAAAATATTAAAATACAGTAATGCATCAAACATTCAAAGCTTCCCTAAACAGGGCTGCCTTCAGATGTCTTCTAAAAGTCTGGTAGTTGTTGTTCTCTTCTACATCTGGTGGGAGGGCGTTTCACAGGGCGGGTGCCACCACCGAGAAGGCCCTCTGCCTGGTTCCCTGTAACTTGGCTTCTCCCAGTGAGGGAACTGCCAGAAGGCCCTCTGTGCTGGACCTCAGTGCCTGGGTAGAACGATGGGGGTGGAGACGATGGGGGTTGAACAATTCCTCTTCAGAGGAAGCTTGGGATACAGTAGCTCTGTGAGGGGAATAGCTGCACGTATCTTGACAATGCCTGACACCCTTCATTAACTACACTTCCCAGGATTCCCTGGGACATCTGGTGGGAGGGCGTTCCACAGGGCTGGTGCCACTACCGAGAAGGCCCTCTGCCTGGTTCCCTGTAACTTGGCTTCTTGCGGCGAGGGAACCGCCAGAAGGCCCTCGGTGCTGGACCTCAGTTTCCAGGCAGAATGATTGGGGTGGAGACGCTCCTTCAGGTATACTGGGCTGAGGCCGTTTAGGGCTTTAAAGGTCAGCACCAACACTTTGAATTGTGCTCGGAAATGTACTGGGAGCCAGTGTAGGTCTTTCAAGACCAGTGTTATGTGGTCTCGGCAGCCGCTTCCAGGCACCAGTCTGGCTGCCGCATTCTGGATTAGTTGTAGTTTCCGGGTCATCTTCAAAGGTAGCCCCACACAGAGCGCATTGCAGTAGTCCAAGCGAGAGATAACTGGAGCATGCACCACTCTGACGAGACAGTCTGCGGGCAGGTAGGGTCTCATCCCGCGTACCAGATGGAGCTGGTAGACAGCCGCCCTGGACACAGAATTGACCTGCGCCTCCATGGACAGCTGTGAGTACAGAATGACTCCCAGGCTGCGCACCTGGTCCTTCAGGGGCACAGTTACCCCATTCAGGACCAGGGAATCCTCCACGCATGCCCGCCTCCTGTCCCCCCAAAACAGTACGTCTGTCTTGTCAGGATTCAGCCTCAGGAATCTAATCTAATCCGCAGGAATCTAATCTTACCAAGATTTTTGACACCATTGTTCTGTGGGATAATTGACTGGGAACCCCTTTGGTCTTGCCTAACGCCATCTCGATGCTGAGCAAACCCAGTAGTGACAGTGTGGAGATTTCTGGGCGCCAGGTTGGCAGGGGGCATCTTCATCGGGCAACCAGATTTTGTGCGCAGCAAAAGATGCATGCCTTTTGCTCCTGCGCTGTGGCACAGATCATGGGCACCTTGCTGGGCATCTTAGTCCTCCGTCACATCAGGCCAACCAAGTGGCGCTCACAGGCCACAGTTTAGAACCCCTGGCCTTAGTCCATGGTTAATACCATTTCCATTTTCACCTTGTGTGTTTCTCTTCTTTGCACACTGGGGCAAGTGAATTGTTGTCAGCGCAAGCTACAGCCAAGCAATGTTGCTGAGATCATAGAATCGAAGGGACCCAAGGGTCATCTAGTCCAACCCCTGGCGTA